CGGTGTTCTCTTACGAGGATTTGTGGTTTATCGAATCTGATGTAATGGCGGGTGGATCTAATGTAATTGCAGGTTGTGAGGGATTTCATCTTAGTACTCAGAGGTAAATACTAAATAAGCATCTTGTCGTCTACTTCGTATGAATTTGCCTACAGTTGTTCCTGGACTGCAATGGCCACTTACCATCGGGTGGACTGTAACTTCGTTTGTGACTTTTTACTGTCCTAAGCCAGCGATTAACTACAATCACAACTGATGGTTAGTGGTGATGTAGCCGATCATGTTGAAGCGCACTAACTTAACAGAAGTCTATTCTATTTTAGCTTACTTCAGTTTCATAAAAAAATTTACAATACTTAATAAGTTTAATTAAACATCGATCGAAAAAAGTAAAATAATAAAAACCCAAATCGATTGACAAATTGACCATTACAAATAATGTATCATATAATTATTTATGTCATTTACTATATCCGATGAATGAGAATTATCCTGAATTCACAAAAGGTAGTAGATATCTATGGAGTGTAAAAGTAAGGAGTACCAACTCCCATAGTAGAATAGTTGAAATAGTGTCCATCTGCAAGCAGTAAATAAACGTTTAAAAAACTCTCCACAACAGCGCTGGAGTAGCTACTAGGATGAAATGAACTTAGCAGTTACTGTCGACGGTTTGAAGTGTGCTGCTAAACTGCTCAGTAGCTATAAAATATAAAATAATTTTATTTAGTAAATATAACCTCAAAAAAGTAGTCTGTCCCACTAATATTTTTCGGCACGTTCTTTAAAATTTAACCCGTAGCTATAGTGGCGCCACCCTTATTTAACCTTTTTCTGTGGACTTTTTTTAATACACAGTCTGTACTCCTTACTTCTTACACTCCATATAGATATCGCTTGCGGTACTTTACATGAAGATGACCGAAGATTAGACGGCCATTATATAAAGTGCGATTCCCGCCATAGCCGGATCAGTGCAAATCCCGCCGACGCGTGAAGCCATGGTACGTTCAAAAATTGTTTCCTATTTTATTATTAATAATTTTATTTTCATTGGTATCATTACTCATTAATTACTTTTCTATATAAGTAAAAATACTTTTTTTATTTATTGTGTTATTTTTATTAGAATATTTATATCCTAGATTGATCATTCAAAATCTCTTTCTGCTCATATGAAAAAATAGGAAAAATAATGTATTTATTGCCTATATTATATTATCTGTCGTGTCAGATTGTCGTTCCATCGGACTATGAGAGTGCACCTGTGCTTGCGCATACACTTGGGCACTATAATCCTGTCCTGCGCCGGTGACTAGTCTCCGTTGAGGCTGGCCGCCGTGATCGTAATTCTGTCTGGAGGACATTGTTATTAGAATGTCGGACAGACAAATGTCAAACAATAATTAGTATATATTATATACTAGTCTCACACTTGCACAGGTCTTCTCTCATTTTGGCTGTCATATAGGTTTGCACGATTATTTCCTACATCACTCGCATACCGATACAACATAGGCTTCCCCCAAGGAATGCCACAAAGCACGGATATGAGCCACTAAACCTAGGGGGGGGGGGAGGGACGTCCTACATTTCGTCTACCGGTACGAGGCTGCCACTCGAGAACATTTCTTCCCCATCGGCTATTGGTTCTTCGAGTTATACTGGTTGATTTTTTTTTCGTCTGGAAAAAATAGTGTGTAGCAGGTGAACGGAACGGAGGCCTATGGTATTGATAATTTACATTTTTTTAATTTTACATGAAATTGATCTACCAATAAATACTACTAATTGGATCTATCACTAAATACTACTAATTACAACAAATACTACCACTAATTTACATTTACTTTATTTGATATTAACATATTATGCAATTGATCTATCAATAAATACTATTAATTAAGTTCAATATTCCAGACCGTATAAAGAATCAACCAGTATAGCAGACCCATTGCCACTTTAGCTTATTAATCCGTTGGATGGTAAAGGAAATCATCACCATTATCACAAAGGGTTGTAATGATGATGATTTCTATCGCCACCGAGCGCCTGGTAAATCTAATAATTAATATTAATATTAATAAAAATAAATAAATACATATTAATAACTTACTTAAAAATCTACTTGGTGCTAGTGGGAACCGAACGCTAGTTGCTCGTGTACTATAAAATTAAAGGTATTAAAATCGCTGTGTAGTGATGGCGTAGCGTAGTGGAATCAACTACCAGTGTCGTAAGAGAAGACAGAGGTGAACGATACGTGGTAGAGCCTCGCTGCAGCTGTATATTATGTTGTAGCAAGAATGCGTCGGCTCCACCGGGGAAGGACCAAGGACCACGCTCTCACAGAATACCAGCGTAAAAATACCCGTTTTTACTGGAAACGAGGCATTCCATCTTAGTCCTCAGGGGTGACAACACATCCGCGTTTTGATACTTAATCCAGGATAAATGTAGATGTCTATGGGCCACAGCGTCCACTTACCATCAGGTGGACTGTGTGCTCGTTTATCACCTTTATTCTATTTTAATAAAGAAAGTTATTTTAAATGAAAGTAAATAATTTTCTAGAGTATTATAATAATACACAAAACAATGCCATTTAACCTTTAATATTTTGCAAATTATTAAGTTTTTTTTTTTTAAATCTTTTCACTTATATCTATAGTTTGTTTTATTATTTTCTAAGCTAATTAATATAAAATTTTACTTATATTTGAGAACAACCATTACATTTTCTTAACAAATTAACTTCCCATTATGAAATGAGTCAAATATTTCACCACATTCCATAATGGCACCACTCTGGTGCCAGACATCAGGTGGACTGTGTGCTCGTTTGTCAACGTTATTCTATAAAAAAATACGAAACAGGTGATGGGCAGAAACATATTTCTGATAACAACTTACAGGAATTAAAATTACTTCATAAAGAATATGAAATACTTTAAAACAATTGGTATAAATAAAAATTTTGTACAACCGACTTCAATATAATAAAAATGAGAACATTATTAATGTATTCGAAGTCATTAAAATCGATTCACCCAGAGAAAAGTTATAGAGTAACACACATAAAAAAAAACATAAAGTCAAATTGAATACCGCCTCCTTTTTAAAGTCGGTAAAATTGTTCAAAACTGTTGTATGTTATGTCTAAGAAAAATAAACTCAGACAAAGACATTTTCTGAACCAGTATTAAATAAAAATATGACTTACATTAAGTTAAAGTAATTTTTTTAAAGTATAATAAATTATGGGAGTAGTAATTAGGTTAGTATAGTTTTATGTATTTAAAATTAAGTGTTTCAGTCAAAAATATTATTCTATTCTATTATTCAAATGCAATATAGTGGCAATGGGCCGGCCATATAGCTTATACAACATGTAACAAAAACCCTGTGGTTCCCTTAACTGCGTTATCAGAAGCAGTAACCAAACATATAGAAATAATTTTTTTTTCAAAAAAACACAAAAAATTGATTTCTAATGAAAAAAAATAATTTGCAAATTGTATGTGGTTTTATTATCTCTGCATTGTCCGAGGTAAGAGCATTGTCAAAGACCCCGCGTTACCGATACTACCGTGTGAGTTAGGCGCAGGAAATAAAACTACATAACAATTTGCAAATAAATTTGTTTTCCATATTTTTTTTAATTGTGTTTTTTTTTTTTGAAAAAAGTTATTTCTATATGCTTGGACACTGATTCTGATTACGCACTTAACGGGAACCACATGGTATTTGTTACATATTGTATAGACGTCAAAAAGGAGGATGTGTTTAATTCGACTGTATGTTTTTCAATGTGTACCTCTTAACTTGTCTCTGGGTGCACCGAGTTTGATGATTCCTTTTTTATCTGATAGCTGGTGTTTCTCAAGTAGTCCCATTTAAATTTAATCAGATCTGACTAACAGTTTTCGAGTTATCTTTAATAATGCGTATTTAATTGACTTCGAATACATTGATTCGGTCGTATTGAAATCGGGTATACAAAATTTTTAATTTTACCATTTGTTTATTATTTTTTAGTTTACGTGTTCTTTAATATTATAATAACGCTTTTTGTACAATATTTCTTTAATAAAACCTCTAAGGTTGTTGATTGACAAACTTTAATAAAACCTCTAAGGTTGTTGATTGACAAACTTTAATCATTTTCTAGGATCTTGTTGTAAAAGCGAATACTATGCCTCATAAATGAATTACCAATTCTGTGGAGTTTAGTAACAAACATTACAAGCTCATGTTTGTTCCTAGTGTTTAAAGTATGGATCTTTATTGACACTTTTTATCTCTTTAAGCTGCTTTTTGCGCTGCAGTGTTCGGCTCGGGTGTGAGCCCTTACTACTTGCCCCTCCTTCACGAGTCTCCCGCAGAAAAATAAACTTCTCAACTCTCCACAGACTATCAAGGAGTTCCTGTCATTGACACTTTCGTCAATAACACTGCTAAAATGCACATGACCTCCGCTTTGATTAGGAGGGCATGTGATGCCCTAACATTATACTACTAGCGTAAACGAACAGAAGCACTAAATCACGCTATCGGAGTTTCCAAGCGACTCTGCAATACATTAAAAAAAGCTCCGCAGCGCATGGAGCGATGCCTCCCCGAACTGACCTTGACCGGCGGGAGATCTACAAAAATATCTTCTTTTCCTTCTTTCATTTTTTTATTCATTTATCATTCGCACGACACTCAAGGGATATTCTTACATAGTTTCCTCCTTTCGTTAATATATAATTTAAAGATTTTACTTATAAGGAAAACAACTTATTTAATATGCTTAATATAATGGATGTTACTACGTCATTCACGCATGCAATCTACAAAGGTCATGCGCGTTCATCCCGCGGTACTTTACATGGATTGTATTTTAAAGCTATGGCATTGGTCTCAAAGGCATTGGCACATCTCTATATAAAATAATAGCCTGCCGTTTTTGATTCAGTTTGGGTTCAGGGTTCAGTGCTTTCCCGCCAAAGTGATAATTGTCGGTGCGTTCAAAAATATTATTTTATTTATTACTGTGCATATAATTATGTAATGTAATACTTTTTCAGGCTCAAATCTTTTTTTAAATATCTGCTTAATTAAAAACACGATTATATGTGGATTTAAATAATCGCCATGCAAATTTTAAAGTTTTAAAGATTTTATTATTGCGATTTTTTTCAATTCCAAAGATTTGTTCACAGCACCGATAACTATGGGCTATTTTCAGCTTATAATAATTGTTAACGTGAAAGTGCCAGGATACCCCGCGAAATTCAAATTTTCTTACATTTTTTCAAAAATTTTTTTTTGGTATTGGCAGGTTAGTGTCAGGATGTATGTTTAAAAAATATAATTCGCGAATGTATGTAACTAGTATGTGTTTGTTTAAGTTCATATAATCCCTTAGAATGAGTTTTTCTGGAAATAGCCATAAAGTTGCATTATATGAACTTAGAAGGTTGTATTGATGATTACAATGATTATAATTCTGTGAATTCATACTCGTTACGGTCGCAAATCAAATTTCGTTATATATACAACCTGACACTGACCTGCAAATTGCAATAAACTTAAGAAAATTTAAAATTCGCGGGCTACTCTAACCCTATCACCTTAAGTTTTTTTTTAATAAGTTTGCAGTATTCCGAAGTTTTGTTATGTTTATCTTAGGTTTGGATTTAAATTGATACAGTATACCAAGAAGATGACAGTAATTAGCTAGATTAGATATCTATTTTTGTGTTGTTCTTACTCAATATATTAAAGAGTCTCTTGAATCATCTTTGGTAGGTGCAGTAGTTTAATTGTCTGTATCTATTTGTATTCTAATTTCTAGACAGGCTTATTAACTGCATACTTTTCGGGAGTTTGTGTTTTATGTATATTGTTGGGTTACCAGGTAAGAATCTCCACCACCCCATATCATCACGTGGGTGTCGTAACAGGCGGCTGCGGTTTTATAAATACAACATGAACAAGTATTTACCCCGAACAAATATTTTGTCAGTAGTACAATTAGTAGTTGTACCGTATGTGTATTGAATCCACAGCATACATGCCTTAGTCAAACACTATGCCACTTCATTAAATACGATTATACTTATTTTCATCTCATTTAGATTTTAGACATTTTAAATGATTTACAGAACCCGATAGTCATGTTGAGATGGTCAACATTTTGGAGTCATAGCAAACCCTGGTCACAACAATAAGAATACGGTTACCGTTACTGCATATTAAAGTCCACTGCTGAACATAGGCCTCCCCCATAGATTTCCTAATAGGGGTAATATTTGCCATAGTTGCCACGCTTGGTAACCGCAGTATTTAGTTACTTTAAGTCGCTATTAGAATGAGTCGCTTCTTACACACCCACGGGATGATATCGGGTCGTCGACATTCTTACACCGCCACTACACGTTTTGTCAACGTTTGATCATATCATAAATAATTGGTATATTTGAGTCTGACTGATGGAATGATAGATCTAAATACATTTATACAACAAAAATTATCCCGTGTCCAATTCCACAAAATCACTTTTAATGGGTACCTAATTTTTATGAAATTCGAATTCGAATTTTAAATTTCGCATTTTTATTTTTCACAGTTTGAAACTATGACTTCTTTAAAAGGACTGGCAGTTTGGACGTTATGTGCCGTTATGTGTAAGTATTTTCTTTGTTTCTTTTTTAAAACGTTGGTAGTTTTCTTTTTTTTTTAAGGCGAAAATTTATAGACGTCTCAAGCTACAGTCTTACAATACAAGGGTGACAAACGAAAATAGTCCAACCACCCTATGGTAAGTGGATGATGGATACTGCGAGTTGTGGCCCATTAACATAAGCCTCTACCCTTGTTTAAGAATTAAATACAGATGCCTTGTCGCTCCTGAAGAGAAAACGAGCATACAGTACACCTGATAGTAAGTGGATGCTGTGGCCTAAAGACAGCTAAATTTATACTATATATAATATACTATATTAACGCTCGCTGTAAATATAACAGAACGCGAGTAACCCGGGTTCGATCCCCGCCGGCACGAATGAAATTGTTAATTGCAATTTTAAGTGCTGATTTACCACGTGCTCGGCGGTGAAGGAAAACATCGTGAGGAAACCTGCATGTCTGAGGAATAAGAAAAAAAAATATTTCGAAGACATGTGAAGTTCGTCAACACGCATTTGGGCAGCGCGGCGGACACTTCCTTGCCCTAAACCCTCTCAGAAATGAGGGGAGGCCTGAGCCCAGCAGTGGGACGTATATAGGCTGTAACTTTACTTTACTTTTTACTTTATGAATCAAATTAATGCAGATGCGTTGTCACGACTGAGGACTAAGATGGAATGCCTCGTTTCCAGTGAAAAGGGTCTCCGGTTCGCTACAATCATCATACGAAACACAGCAGCATTGAACTTCTGGTATTCTGTGAGAATGGTCCTACCCCTGGTCCTACCCTGGACCCATTGGTGCTGCAAACATAATATAGCTGCAGCTTGGCTGTACCACGTATAAAACAAACAAAAGAAAGCTAAGAACATTCTCGATTAAGACACCTTTCAAACGAAAAAAACTTAATCAAAATCGGTTTATATGCTCAGGAGCTATGATGCTACCGACAGATGGACATATACACATTGGTCTAGTGGTTGTAGTAGTGCGACTGCTGATCATGAGGTCCTGGGTTCGAATCCCGGGTCGGGTCAAAAAAATTAATATTGAGTTTTTCCGTCAAGAAATTCTCAGTAGCTACCCGGAGTCAGGAAGTTGGCTGTGTCTCACCCCCGTGCCTCGGAAGCCGTTGGTCCTGCGCCTGATCTCTCTGGTCGTGTCGGTTTACCGTCCCATTGGATTATGAGAGTGAAGAAATAGAGAGTGTACCTGTGCTTGCGCCTACATTTGGGCACTATAATCCTGTCCTACGCCGTTGGCTAGCCTCCGTAGAGGCAGGCCGCCGTGACCGGAATTCGGTCTGGAGGACATTATTATTATTATTACAAACTTATTAACGTAACACCCATTTGTTTTTACAATGTATAGAAAAGTTGGTGATTAATTTTTATCAAATCAAATTACTCTCAGGTGCATCTCAACCGGTGGACCACCTGCCGGTGCTGAAAGAGGCACCTGACAGCGTCACCTTTAAGGTCTCTGACAAGCCCTCGCCATTGATTCTGAGCTGTGTCGTCGAGAACGCCAAGAACATCAAGTAAAGTCTATATCTCAATTAATTATTTATTTTTTACATATTTCAAGTCAGCCAGTGTTCAACTAAAATTCCACTTGGTGATAATTGGTGACGAAACTCTGCAAGGTAAACCGCACTGTCTTAGCGTTTTAAAAGTCATTTAGTCTTCCCTTGGAGACATCCAGATTGTAATCGGTAGAAAGATATTTTCTTCCAACGCCTTTGATGTACGTATTTTTTTTAAATATTAGTAACACTCCTGGTAAGCTTAAAATGCTTGCGTTAGGAGTGGTCCACGACAATATTTGAATGGTGGATTCGAACGCACGACCTTTTGAGTTCATGGATCACGATTCACGGTCCTTACCATTAGGCTACTATCGCTTATAAAATTACGTACTCAATGCTCACACCTGAACGGAACGGACGAAACAAACCGTTTCGTTCCGTTCCGTTCCGGTGTGAGCATTGAGCTGCTATTTTACGATGGTATTTTGTGGTAACTGCAGTGTTACTCTACCACATTCAAAAGTGATGATGTATTAATATAAAATTTATATAAGATTTCAAACCGGTATATTTATCATTCATCATCGAAGAATCTCGCCTTTTCGATACGACAATAATGAGTCTACCTGACACCTTACACAACAATAGTCAAACTTTACAAGACTTAAATGAAAAAAATTAAATCGTTAACAAACGATCTTCTAAGTGCTAATCAAGAGATTGAGAACCTTAATTCCGAAAATTTTCGTCTGAAAGCTGACCTTGATAAGTCCTTAAAAATAATAGACTCATACAAAAGAATAATCACATCTGACAGGAAAAGTATGAAGCCTACACCAAGAGGCAAAAGAAAGTATTCACAAAATAAGATCTTTGAAAGTCCAGCACAAATAACAAACCCAGGAACAGATGGTCAAAGTATAAATAATTCCCCAATTCCCATAACAAATCGATCTTTAGATGAATTAGAACAAAATGCAATAAATAATGACAACTTTAATATTATGACAATACCATCTGAAAAACCCATTAACTTGCCTGCCTGTTGTACTACATTTTCAAATAAAATATTGCAAAAAAGATATTCAACAAAAAAAAGAAATAAACTGTGATACTCCTCTTCTGTATGCAAGTAAAGAGCAAATAAATTCCCATGAAAAGGGTAATAAAGTATGGAAACGAAAAATTGTTATTGTAGCGGACGAACAAGGTTATAAAATAAGAGAAACACTGCAGAATTTTGTTGGTTGTGAGTTTATAGTAACTTGTTACTCAAAGTATGGAGCCCCTTTAAAAGAGGTGTTAGCGCCTGCAGAATCTGAGTTAAGCAAATTGAACAGCAACGATTTTGTAATAATACTTGGAGGAATTAATGATAAAAATCCTCGTGAACTATTGTTTTTCCTTAGACAATTTTTGAACAATGCGAGCAAACCCAATATTTTAGTATCAGAAGTACCACGTAGCAAATATCTTAATAAAAGAAAATTAAATTATGAAATTAAATTTATATGCTCTGAATTTAAGTATGTTAATTATATTGAAATGAATTATTCTGTCATGATACCTAGGCGCAAATATTTTCCTCTATATACAAGCCAGTTACTTCTACAAGAAATATTACGTGTGGATTATAAATTAAAATATGAGATATACTGTAAAAGCTTAAAAGACATACCGGAACATAAGCAGACCTTTACTGAAAATAGTACCCAAACTGACATGTTTGTCGACCTTGTAAAATGTAATAACTTTTCTGACAGTAGCACCCAAACTGACATGGCAATTGAAACACCTTCTCAAATTAATTCTACTAACTTTTTTCTTGTATAACCAAATAAGTATACTTCATCAAAATATTAACGGCCTTATAAACAAGTGTGACTTATTAATTACATCTTTAGAATCTATAGAAAGTGTAAAAGATGTTAAAGTTTTATGCATTACCGAACACAATATGTCTAGTATTGATTTATATATCTTAAACATTCCAAATTATTCATTGGGTTCAGTGTTTAGTCGTAGAAATCGTCGCGGTGGATCTTGTATTCTGGTACATAACTCACAAAAGTTTATACCAATCATTAACATAAAAAAATATTCGATTGAAGGTATAATCGAATATTCAGGATTACAATTTCCTGAACATAAACTATATATATTCTGCATTTACAGACCCCCCAGGGTAAGTTCTGAAGATATCAATAAGTTTTTCGCAAAATTTACTTCTTTATTAAATCAGTTTTGCCTTGGAAAAAATAAAGTAATACTCTGTGGCGATTTTAATATTAATACTCTGAAAAAAAGTAAGGAAACTATTGAGTTAAGTGAAATTCTATCTGCGTATAACCTGAAAATAGGAATAGAAGAGCCCACTAGATTGGTAAGTGGCACATGTATTGACAATTTCATGTATAATGTTCGTGACTGTAAAACAAGAGTTTTGGAACTTGCGTTATCTGATCACACTGCACAAGTACTTACATGTCCAGTAAAAGTAAGTTGTCTGATCAAACATTGGTACATTAAAACGCGGGACTACTGTAAAGAGAATTTAGATAAATTTAAAGAATGCATTAACGCTCTAAGTTTCAATGATGTGTTTAGTAGCAATGATCCAAATACTTCGTTTAACATTTTTTATGATTTTTTCCGCCTTTTCTATAACTTATGTTTTCCTGTAAAATATATTAAAAAAGACACAAAAGTGAAGCCGAAATGGATAACGAAAGGTATAAAAAAGTGCTGTAAACGTAAACGTCAGCTTCTTTGGCAATATAGGAAAAACCGAACAGAAAATAATAAAAGAAGTTTTATAGACCTTTCATCAAGACTCAGTCGTGTTATCAAATTCACACAAAAGGTTAAAAACGACAATTTCATAAATAATGCTCGTAACAAATGCAAAGCTACTTGGACTATAATTAATAATAGGACAATTAATTTACCAAATCAGGAAATAGAACAAATTACTATCAATAACACTACAATTAAGGATCCCATAAGCATAGCGAATAAATTTAATGAATATTATTTAACCAAATCACCAAATTGGTCCCGCATAGAACACCAATTAATATTTCAAGTGAATCTAAATCTTTATTTATGAAACCCGCAACACCGAATGAAATAAATAAAATTATTTTAAATTTAAAACCTACGAATAGTACAGGTTATGATGATATTTCAACCAAAATATTAAAATATGTTTCTATCAAATTATCACATGTACTGAGTCATATTATCAATCAATGCATTTATCATGGCCTTTTTCCTGACAAATTAAAGTTAACCATAATCAAACCTATTTTTAAGAAAAACGACAGAAATGACATGAGCTGTTATATGCTGTTATGGTAAACATGGATAATAAAAATCATGCCTGCGCCCTTTATATGGACCTAACAAAGGCATTTGACTATGTTGACCACAATATATTGCTAGATAAGCTATTTGCCTATGGAGTTAGGGGAAATACGCATGATCTTATTAGGAGCTATCTTGGTAACAGAATACAGTCTACACACATAACGAGATTGTGTCCTCACAAAAAAATTATATGTGACTATGAATCAGCGTACAAAATCAATAACTTTGGTGTGCCACAAGGCAGTGTATTGGGTCCATTATTATTTATTATATACATAAATGATCTCCCGAAAGTAACAAGCAATGACACTATTTTATTTGCTGACGACAGTACAATTATATTTACAGGAAAAGAAAAAACACAAATAGAATTGGACATAAACAATACCTTGGATAATATTATTAAATGGTTGACTTTAAATAATTTAAAAATAAATTTAGAAAAAACTAAATTAATGACGTTTCGAAACAGAGTTCACAAATTAACGGACATGAAAATCTACTATACACAAATAAAAATTGAAGAAATAGAGACAATAAAATTTTTGGGACTAAACATTGATTCTCAACTAAACTGGAAGTCACATACAGAGATGTTGTGTTCGAAACTTAATCAATACTCATATGCGATCTACATGTTGTCCAAAACTGCCAGTACATCCACAGTTTTAACGGCTTACCATGGACATGTTACTCCTCTTTTAATGTATGGTGTTATGTTTTGGGGCAACTCTGTGGGAAAAGAGTTGGTCTTTAGGGCGCAAAAGAGATGCGTTCGGGCTATATACAGAATGAAACAAACCGAGAGCTGTAGGTCGATATTTTCAAAGATTAAAATATTGACACTACCCTGTATTTATATACTGGATATGGTGCTATTTGTAAGAAATAATAGTAACTTATTTGTTAAATTAAAAAGCAAGAGACACCCTTTCCAAATAAGCTTCATGTATAACAAAACTAAACTTTTAAACAGCAGTGTATTTTGTATGATTCCGAGAGTGTATAATCATTTACCCAACTCTCTGCTTGAAATTTCAAATAATAATTTATTTAAAAAAAAAGTGAAGACACTACTTTTAGAAAAATCATATTATTCGGTAAGGGAATTTCTTGAAGACAAATTAATAGATGCAGTATTGTAACCGGCTTAGTGGTACTGTGACATTAATTAGACATTTTATGTGACATTATTTTACAAAGTTGACATTGTGTATTAATTAGGTAATCTCATTTGACATTATTTTAATAATTATTTAGACACTATGATTTGATATGTAATAATTTTAATTTAATCTATAGCATAAAATTAAGAATTTTTGCATGGCATGAGCCTAAATATGGCGATCAACAATGTAAATTGACCACTGTAACACCATCTGTACCCATATTGCGCAAATCAAGAATTAATAAATAAAAATAAATAAAAAATAAATTTTTTTTTATAGGATAAGGGTAACAAACGAGCACACAGTCCACCTGATGGTGAATGGTTGCTGGGGGCCATAGATATCTACATCTATCCTCGATTACGAATGAAAATGCAGATGCGTTTTCACCCGTGAGGACTAAGATGGAATGCCTCGTTCCAGTAAAAAGGGTCTCCGGTTCTCTACACTCACCATACGAAATACAGCAGCATTAAGCTACTATTTCACGCTGGTATTCTGTGAGAGCGTGGTCCTTCCCCAGTCGAGCCGACCCATTCGTGCTACAACTATACTACTAATATAACTGCAGCATGGCTCTACCACGTATATTTTATAATGCTAATGTATTACGTTCAGATACATATGGAAAAAGGATGGAGACATCTTTGAATGGAAATCAAGATCCGACATTGCCCAAAAACCAGACGAAGGTACGATCATTATCCAGAAGCCAAGGGACGAGGACGCCGGACAGTATCAATGTTTCGCCGAATCAAACTTTGGAGTCGCTACCACTGGAGTGATCAAAGTAGAAAAGCTATTTATAGACACACCAAAAGTAATTCCATTGAAACACAAACCCGTCAAAGGAAAGCCTTTCAAACTGGACTGCGCCGTGCCCAACGCCTACCCAGAGCCTGAAGTGCAGTGGGTTTTGCAATCGGCCAATGATCCAAGTAATTCCAAAGTTATCATAGAGATCGAGTACCATATTACGCAATCACCGGACGGTAACCTCTGGTTTGCCAACGTCACTGAAAAAGATGTCCATACCGATATGAAATACGTGTGTCAAGCCTTGACCCCGGCTGCGGACGGACCGGTGGTACTTGCAGAGCATTATATAGAAGATCTTGTTGAAAATAAAGAAGAGAACACCGGCGAACTGGTGGCGCAGTACTTAAGTAAAGATATGACGGTGCAAGTCGGTAAGGTTACGATGATTTACTGCATATACGGTGGAACGTGAGTATAAACTGTTATTTTCACATTTTTATCTCATACATTCTCGAAAAATGTTTCCTTAGTTTTCGATTTATTATTTAATAGTTTTTCCCGCGGCTCCGTTAGTGTTTATTGACAGTCGACGAGTTATTTATTACTGAAATTATTCAAACGGTTGCAGGACGCTTTATTGATGTATATTTTTAACTTCCAGCTAAGAAAATTAAAAATTTTCAAAAATAGAAGTTATACATTTCACCCCGATTTTCGAAAATCGAGTTTTCATGAGATCTCGATGTTTTGAGATCCCAGGAAGCTATTCTGACTAATTTCACGTGGACGTCCGTACGGATGTATGTATGTATGTGTGTGTGCCAGCATGTAAACCTTTCGTAACTTTTAAACGTCTTGATCGATTGAGATGCGGCTTGCTGCGTTCTAAAGATCTCAATGTGGAATAGATTTGGTTATAATATGAACTGATTCGGACGAGTAGATTTTGAGAAATCTCAAAAAAAAAATTGAAAAACTGTTTTTTGAAATAATTTTTAAACGGCTCTACCGATCGATTTAAAAAACGAATCAGCTCTTAACCTTAGAAAATGACGTCGAATGCCGTTTGGAAAATAAAAAATTGGAATCGAAAAAAAAGCGTTTTCTTTAACATAACTTCGAGATTTCGCAACATAATTTGGTGAAATTTGGAGCGCTTTGCATTTGAAATTAGCGGAAAGTTCCAGGGATGGCCTGCAGGGTCAACCAATTTTTATTTTATAGAATGAGGGTGACAAACGAGCACACAGTCCACCTGATGGTAAGTGGCCCATAGACATCTACATCTATCCTGGATTAAGAAACAAAATGCAGATGCGTTGCCATCCCTGAGGATTAAAATGGAATGCCGCGTTTCCAGTAACAAAGGGACTTCGGTTCTCGACACTCACCATACGATACACAGCAGCATTGAGCTGCTATATTACGCTGGTATTCAGTGAGAGCGTGGTCCTACCACTGCTGAGCCGACTCATTCGTGCTACAACCATAATATAGCTGGAGCATGGCTATATCACGTGTAATTGTGCACAATAAGTACTTAGTAATATTCTTAAATATCTACTATCCCCTTTCTACTTTCTCAGCCCACTTGCCTATCCGGGCTGGAGAAAGAACGGGCAGACAATCAAGGATGAGCCCCAAGACCGCGTAACGAAGTACAACGGAACTGGAGGCAAACGTCTGCTCATCAAGGACACCTGGCTGGTGGATGAAGGGAACTACACCTGCTTCGCTGATAATGAAGTTGACAAAGTCAAGGAACATACTGTGCACTTGACTGTAGTCAGTAAGTACTTTAGGTTCCTTGTTTAGAAATTAGTTGCTTAAAAATCTAGTTTCTTAAGGATTTTTCTAGCAAGACACGTTAAAGACAAGTCAAGTCAAGTGGACAAGTAGAGTCAAATGTTGTGGTAACGCTGCAGATACCAAAGATTTAAATAGTTAGATGCGCCTTCACGTTGAAAACTGTGGCATTATTTTTGGATGTGTTCGTTTGCAAGACGCTGACGGGCGCACACTAATGCAATAGTGTCATCTCTTATTATCTTATAAAAATTGTGTATACTACTTTCTCTGTCGCACATTTGTGCGACAGAGATCACTCATTCGAGTGAGTTCACTCATTTCAGAATGGACACATTTCAGAGTGGTCATACTATGGTAAGGGCGAATCTAATTATTTAAATATTTGGCAGATACACGGTAACAGCATAGTAGACTAGTTCAATCGAGTAAGAACCACGCTCGTACCGAATAATTGCGTGAAATACTAACATACGACTGCCATATGGCCATAGACATCTACTGTCCTCGATGAAAAATCAAACTGCAGATGCGTTTTCACCCCAAAAGACTAAGATGGAATGCCTCATTATTAAAAAGGGTCTTCTAGACCAACACAGCTGTGTTTGCAGCGATTATACAGCTACAGTATGATTATATCATGTATAACGCGAAATAGTATCTCAAAAGAAATTTTTCCAGGTGCTCCTGTGTTCAGCAAACGTCCACAAATGAAAATAACAGCGAAACAAGGTGAAGAGGTTACAATCAACTGCCAAATCCTTGGTGTTCCAGCGCCAGAAGCCACTTGGACTTACAACGCAAAACCTTTGCCTCGGACAGATAGAATAAGTGTAAAACAATCGTCGGTAGGAAATAGTACAGTTGCTGATTTGACCATTAACAACTTGGAGGGCAATGACGCGGGGTATTACGGATGTAAAGGATACAACGGAAATGGAAAGGTTTACGCTGAAACTTTGTTGTATGTCTCTTAAATTCGAAATAAAAATATATAGTTAATAATGTTACCTTTTCGTTTTATTTTAAAATACTGATCTAAATGCTTCTTCTACTAATTTATGAGCCCGTTAAAGTCTTATGCTGGATATTTTTAACTTAAAGTAATACCTTTATTTAAATCTGGTAGTACATTAAAACCCGCAAATTTTAGAAATAGGTCATTCCTGTAGTGTAGTATATTCATATTCTGTAATGTAGTAACATTTTTGAAAAATTATTCTATATTATTATTATTAATTTGGTAATTTTACACTATCGCGGTCCCCTCGTTTTTTGGCTCTAGAAAATCGAAAAATCATCCGATTTCGGTTATTTTTTCACGCCAGATTTACGAAAAGATTACAGGAATAAAAAAATTAAACTTATATTGGTTTCAGGGCTTTAAATGTTCATGAAAATTATGAAACCTCACGCACTCATTCATGTATAATTGTTGATAACTTTTTTACAAATATTCAAATGAAATTGTTATAATATTTTTTCATAAACTACACTAAAAAACAAACATTTAAAAAAAATGAAAAATGTTTGTTTATTAATTTTTTATTTTGGTGTTTTACTGAGTGTAAGATCGAGCAAAGCGGGCTCGGGACTTAGGGCATCCCGAGTCGGACAGATTAGGTTAGGAGATGGAGGGGTTGAGTGAGCGAGCAAAGTGAGCGAATAGACCCTGCCATCTTCTTGGTGGTCATTTTTGTATAAACTACTCAGAAGTAGGAGCCCCGTGAAGCGGGGCTCCTTCGACCGGGCTTCCCTCGACTGCAGACTGCGACTCGTACTTTGCAGAACCTGGCTTAAGGAGAATTCCTTCCCAATACAGTTCTTCTTAATGGTGGACTAAGTTGTGCAATAGAGCAGCGGGGTAATCTCGAAGGTAATAAGTTCCATTAAACTGGGGCAATTAAATGTTGAATTAAATATTTTATGTACAAAAACTGCATACTTTCTGCGACTTTCTAAGGTTTCCAAATTAAAACGATGCAATTTACTATTATAGGATAGGACCGTAGCTTTTTGCTTTACACAAGTATGTGACAGATAAGTGGTTTTTCAGGTGAGTAAAAAGATGAAAATCACTCGGAGCTAGGTGCGAAAAATATGGTGGGTGCTGCATCAACTGTAACCCAGCAGTTCGGATTGAAGCGTCTGCAGCATCAGATCGATTTTATCATGATGAAAAAGCGCTCCAGCATGGAATTTTCCTCGATGTTTATTCTTCAGTTATTCGCGTATAGTCTTTTGTTTATGATATGTAATAAGGTACGTGAGGGTAACATGGTCACCTTAAGCTTTGCCGCCCTGTAAAATCAAAACTAGTAGAAGGATAGAGACAAAAACACAAAGTCGAATACTATAACTATTATATTAAGAAAAAAAAATGGGAAACAAGCTTTGGAAATAACTAGGAACACTTCGAAAAATCTACTTAAAAAAAAACTTACTACACTACACCATACTAAAATCGACTAAAATATTTACTTTAATGTCAACTGTCAAAATGTCGTCGATAAAGCATCGCCCTTTTGACCCTTTATTATTTGATTGATGAAGAGCTATCGTATCACAAATCCATCCATGCAAACAAGGCTGTAGTTTTTGAGTTACAAGAAAGTGACCATATTAACCGGGTGACCATCCGGTTAGAGTGACCATATTACCTCACGTATTATAATCTCCAGTTATTGTCTATCCTATGTTATTTACTTAAATCGTCGATCATTATTATACATTCCGCATCCCAGAAGACAGACCATTATTTTTCCACGGACGCAGACACCTTGAACCTCTTGGTTGGTACGTCTTTTCCACACCTTTTGCTTTGGTTTCTTGTATCCGGGTCAAAATGTGTACCCACGTTTCATCTACGGTTACGAAACGAGTGCAAAGGTAATAGTTAACCACATTCAAATTTAACAACATTAGAGGAACCCAGTGCGCGGCCACTTTTTTGAATTTTAAGTTAAGAAAATATACTGAATTGTCTTAAATGAAAGCTCAACCTCAGCTAAATAACGAGTCGAAATAACAATATCTTCGATTTTTTTTAAACGCTTTCTTCCGTAGCGGTGGTTGTTGCCGTCATTGCAGACGTTTTTGCCGCATTTAAATTCTGTAGAATAAAACTAGACGGAGCATTGTCTGCCAAAGTAGTTTTTCAAAAACACTTTTTGTATAAAAAAAATCAGGCAGAAATATTTTATAACTGCACTAAGTTCAAGACTTTGCATACCTACGAATGAAATTTCCGCCCATTGTGGAGTTTGAAAAAAATTGGGTATAGCTTTTAATTTAGGCCGTGTTTCGATACACACTTCGAGCACTGATCAGTTCTCTCACTGGTGAAAAATTTGTTTATTAAAATTTGCAAATATTGCCCGCCGCTTTCATTTATAAATTGGAATAAGTCGTAACAAAGTAGAAGTAAAGCAAGTATAATTACATTAAGCATCATAGTTGTCAGAGGTGACAACGACGCATCTGTAGTTTTATTTGTTTGAAGTTGGCTGTACGTGTGCACAGACCGCAGTAGCCACTTGCCATCAGGTGAGCTGTAAGCTCGTTGGTCACTTTATTTTGTTTTCCAAAATAGCAAAGCAGGTTTTGTTCCTGGTTGCGTTCATAACGGAGATACTGGGCACCCTCGTATACGCTGACGGAGACCACAATAGAATACTATAATACGCAATAGAATGGCTGTCAACGTTATTTTGTACAAGGATCGGTGTCACCGGGAGCACACATACAAACAATTACGTCGTATTATCACTACTACAAACCCGATTCGCTGTGTTGACAGACAGCGATGTACACATTATAGACTTTAGATTAATGTTTTTGACACATCAATATTTCTTTATTTTTGTTTCTAATACATGTATTCACAAAATATAAATAGTTTCGATTTACTCTGGCTGAAGTAAGGGAATGATGAGGATTTCCTCACGATAAAAAAGGTGTCCACAGACTGAAGTCCACTTACGATCTAATTTTTTTCACTTCAGTTTTATAAAACAAACTGTAAGTTGACACGTAAATTGAAATTAAAAATCTTGCGCCAAGAACTTGCTACCGATATGTTGCTCCTATAGGTATATTGTTTAAATAATGGTCCGAATTGGACTTTGATGCCTTATGGAAGTCTGCTAGCTCAAGCTGCCGTCAAAATGTCCCAGAAATTTCTCAGTTTGATAACATTCATCACCACCAGCATCTGCCCCGAACAAATACTTGTTGGACTTATAAATAGTAGATGTACCGTGCGAGATATATTAATTGTATCGGTCCGCAAAAATCAATGGAGATCGAAGATTCCACAAACAAGACTTGCGACGAAGAAAACTCGATCGAAGATCAGAAAGAACTCAACAGAGAGAAGAGCACTCCATCTGAGGGCGAACTTACGTCTTATAAAATCTCAACTGAAGTTTAAATTGGACTAGAGTCGACCCCATCGTCGAATTTAGGTCGACTCGACTTCACAATCAGTATCAGCAACATACGAGGGGCACACTGAAATGATCGGGAATAAGAAAAACCACATGCACGGTAACGGTATAGCTAAATTGTATTTTATTGCTTTTCGAAGTATTCACCGTTCAACTTAATGCACTTTCACATTCGTGCAAACCAATCAATAAAACAGTAATTCCAGTTTGAAGTTGATGTTGACAAAATGGCTGATTGAATGAAATAACAGCACTTAGGGTTCTTCAAACCGTTGACCGCGTAATAAATCTTTTATTCTAGGGAATGTAAAGAAATCGTTTGGGCTCAGGTCAGGACTGTACGGAGGATGGCTCATCAGCTCAACGTTTTTCTGCTTCAAAAAATCATTTGTCTTCCGAGCCGTATGGGAGCTCGCATTATCGTAATGTAAGATGATGCGACGTCGAGTTATTTTTTCGGAGTTCGGCTATCATTACTGGCAAACTAACCGTGTTATGCAACTCAGCCGTAACCATTCTGCGTTCCTGTAAAGGAATTGTAGCAACATGCCCCCTCTTCGAGGCAAACGTAGCGACCCTTTTCTTTAACACGCTGCGGGAGCGAACCACTTTCGTTGGTTTGACCTCGTCTTCGAAGACCCAAACTGCTGACTGATGTTTTCTTTCAAGTTCGTATGAATAAATCCATGATTCGTCACCTGAGACGATATTATAAACGGCATTTGACTTCCCTCCGTTGAAGCGTTGCAGAGTATTTCGGCACCAATCTACACGAGCCGCCTTTTGCTCTTCGTAAAAATTGTGAGGAACCCAGGGGGAAACTAGCTTTCTTACACACCGCTCCTTATGTAATATCGACTGCATTTCAGTCATTCCGATACTGATAACAGCCCGAATCTGCTCGTACGTCACACGGCGGTCATCTAATATAATAGTTCGCACAGCTGCGATGTTTTCAGGCGTGACGCTATTCTTGTTCGACCTGCAGAAGAAACAGTGCTGAGTGACACACGAACGCGTCGCAACTCGGCATACCAGCGGTATATTGTCGTTTGACTCGGTGCTTCAACATCATAAATCGAAACAAGTTCGGTGAGACATTTATCTTGAGATAAGCCACGACGAAAATTGATGATACAAATGCACAATTTCCATAGTATTACGAGCCTATTATTGCTAGTGTTCCACAATGCCGCGTGCTATATATCATCTGTATATCAATTATATGTTGCTGATACTGATTGTGAAGTCAAGCCGAACAAAATTGCGGATCGGGGTCGGCTCTTGTCCAATTAAACTTCTATAAAATTGTTTACAAAAATTGATTTAACAATCTGACAATAATTTATTTAGACTGAAACCAGTAAGCCAGGCGTTTATTTCTTTGCTTCTTTTCTTTCAAAGGACCTGCAAAATCGTATTATAAAAGTTATTAACAGAAAATTTTTGATTACAAAACTACTAGGCAGAGGCATTGAAGCAAAAGTATAGATACCAACAAAAAATCGATTCTTTTGTTTCTATTTCTAGCACTGACTTAAAAGTATATATCTCTATGATTTCTAGCCCCTAGACAACATGAAGACTAACAAAAAGCTAAAAACCCTCTAAGCCAAAAAACTTATCTAAAAATAAAGCAATAGGCATGACAGTTGACAGTTGACATATGACAACGCGTATAACCTCAATTTTAAATAATCATAACAATAGGAAATAAGCAAAATATTTATTTTAAAATGTTATTCCTCTATTTATTGAGTATTTTGTCACTCGTAGTTCAAGCTGTGTTTGTTACAATGGCAATTGGTAAGTATACGTATGAAAATAGAAATAATCTTGTTAGAAAATTGATTTAAAGAAAAGAACGACACCAAATATTTATCAACTTTTTACAACTTTGTAACATGCGTTGTTTCTTGAGTGAATAAAACGTTTATATTTGCATTCTTTGCACCATTTACTACCACAGTCTAAAAATAATAAGCCTACACATGTCTTGATCATTTTTTTAGCTGCCGGTCTCTATTATTTGGCTGAAGTAGTGGAGGAGTACACGGTAATGGCGAAATACATAATTTCTTGGATGATTATTGTAAGTACTTTGTCCCATTTTACATTCAACAAAAACATGCCATTCCCAGTAGTTATTTGCTAAAAGCAATTTTTTTAAATAGAATAAAGGTGACACTCGAGCACACAGCCCTCCTGATAGTAAGTGGATGCTGTAGCCCATAAACATCTACATTTATCCTCAATTAAGAATTGAAGTACAGATAAGTTGTCACCCCTGAGGACTAATATTGAATTCCACATTTACAGTAAAAAGAGTCTCCGGTTTTCTGAGCTCACAATACGTAACATAGCAGTGAGAGCATGGTATTTCTCCAGTCGGTCCTTCTTCCTTCTCGACTCATTTGTACTATAACTATAATGTAGCTCTACTATGGCTCTATCATGTTACAAGTTATAGCCTATAGCATTCTGTCGCAGTGTTCTGGCCTCCTCTCGTCTCAAGAGTAGTGAATAATTATTTTTCTCCAGTGCATGTTGGCAGACTTGACATGCTTGCAAAATAATTTCACAGACTTGCAGGTTTCCTTTTGACATTTTCCATCATTAATTCAATTCACAATTTAATTGGTTGTGGCAGGGCTTGAACTTGGGTTTATTTTCAATCTAAATAATGTTCTGCTCTCAGTAGGATTTTCTCCTGTATTGTAAAGGTTGTAACTGTAAGTAATACATAAATTGCATGAGGACAACTTCCAGAGCTAAAATAATTGTAGGCTATCCAAATACTTGTTCCATGGAGGATTTGAACCTGCAGCCCTGCAGTGCCACAACTGAACACGGCCATGGCCCAATGGAGCCAATTCAGAATCAATGCTTGCAACTTTTCACTAATGTTAGTAACATACAATGAAATATATCGCGAGTTCTAAGCCCCTGAATTATCACTGTTTATTATTTGCTTAATTTCTTAGAAATCTTACTTTAATGTGGCAGAGCCAAACTGCAGCTATATTATGGATTTAGCGTGAATGGGTTGGCTCGAATGTGGTAGTACAACACTCTCACAGAATACCAACATAAAATAACAGCTTAATGCAACTATGTTTCGTATGGTGAGTGTAGAGAACCTAAGACCCCTTTTACTGGAAACGAGGTGTACTATTTTAGATCTCAAGGGTGGATCTCAAGGATGTAGATGTCTATGGGCCACAGCATCTACTTAACATCTGGAGGACTGTGTGCTCTTTTGTCATCCATATTCTATAAAACAAACACACACACACTTAAGTAATATAATTATAATACCTGGGGCATTGATCTATACCTCACCAGTATCCCATGGAATCAAACATACATGGATGCAATAGAGGGCTAATTGTTACTGTTTTTTTTCTTCATATTTTTATACAATATGTAAACCCTGTCTGACACGAAATTGGTATGTAGATAGCACAATGACATTACCAAAAAAAATTAAAAAATCATATTAATAATTACAAAAATGTTATTTATATTTAAAATAAATAAATGTTTTATTAATACAGCTTTTTTGGAATTTTTGCTAATTTAAAAAATCTGGCAACAACCTTATCAGTGATGGAATTTTTGAACATGTGAATGTATTGTAACCCTTAACTAATCGCTCCTTTAAATAGTGTAATTAATCGCTCCTTAAAAGGAGCTATTAAAATAGCCATCTAAATTTTTTCATTTTATTAATTTTTTTTTGTGATGTAACGTTTTTATAATGTGTTTGTCGCACTTATTACATATTTAAAGGAATAAAATTACTACTAAGAATTGGTACAATAAAATAACACATTTGCCGACGATTAAGTTCTAATAGTTCTAATCTTTATAACATTAAATCTCTTAAATTGCTCTAAATTATTTTAAGCTGATTATAAACAATTCCAACTGTAATCTTTTTTATATTCTGTGGAAGTTTACAACATGATGATTGACCAGGTTTTTATTACATATTGTATTTGTGTGGTCTGCAAATAAAAATACTAGAGTCAATTGCAAAGGTTATTGTAAAAAGAAGTTTACAGTCTATGTAGGTTGTTTCAGTACAAAAGTAATACAAAACTGAAAGTACAATGGCATTATGTTAGTTTTATGTACCACTTTTTATACATTTACTCAATCATTTTGTCTATTGATGAAAACTGCATCAAAATCCGTTTCGTAGTTTAAAAGATTTAAGCTTACAGACTACAGGACTGCAGGAGGAGGAAGCGACTTTGGTTTTATACTATGTAAAGAAACTTTATTTAAAAAGTATCATTTCACACCCTTAAAGTTTATTTAAAAAAATCACTTGGGAAAATGTGATAAAAGATACAGATGTTTTTACTTAATTATTTATAACACCATGATTTAAAGTGCTTATAGCTCTGATACATTTAGTATGTGATTTCTGTTAAATGAACTACAGTATTGTCACGCGCCTTAGTCGACGGCACTAGCGCCTAGTTGAAACTCGAACTCTCGGTACCTTGCGCGTGTTTACTTGAATATTCTGGATATTTCCGTACTAATTTATATAAATAGGCGCTGCAAGATGCTATCGAGGAAGTATTGAATTCGGCGAGACAAGCGAAGATTCGGAGCGAAATAAAGTAAATCAGTGTGATTAATTATTGGTGTTTTAAGTTTTAATTAGTGTAAAGAAAATTAAAGTGTTAATTTAGGTAATTCTATCGGCAATTTTTATTGTCACGAACCTCAAGCTCGTAACAATTGGTGTCAGAAGGGGGATAAAATCATGCCGATTTTACCTAAGGAGGAAACGGAGGGTGTCCGTACCCGAAGTCAACGCCAGCAGGAAACGGACCAAAGAAAATTTGGTGGTGCAACGCCGCAGACGTCGGAGGGCCAGCCGCCGGCTGCAGGCCCGTCAGTAGCTCCTACATCTGCAGCACCTGACTTAGGTGCTCTGATGGTGATGCTGCAGGAGCAGGCTCGCCGACAATAGGAACAGATCCGTCGTTTGGAAGAGCAGCTGCGGGGCGGACAGGAGGAACAGGCCCGCCGATTGGAAGAGCAGCTGCGGGGCGGACAGGAGGAACAGGCCCGCCGGCAGGAGGAACAGGCCCGCCGGCAGGAGGAATAGGCCCGTCGTTTAGAAGAGCAACTCCAACGCGATAAGGAAGAGCAGATGCTCCTCATGAAGGACCTTCACGCTATCTTCGGAAAAGAGATACGGGAGGTGAAGGATAAGGTTGCTCAACATGAACACCGCCTGTCGGAGGCCGAAACCCGAATCGACCAAGTAAACAATCGGGTTGACAACGTAATGGCTGACGTGAAGAAAACGCTGGACGACCTCAAACTTGGGGATGGAACAACAGCTCCCGTAGTAGCTACAACACCTTCGCTACGTGGATTCAAAGTGCCACCGTTCGACGGAACTTCTTCCTGGTCGGCCTACAAAATCCAGTTCGAGGCCGTCATGGAGGCGAACGGCTGGAATAAAAGCCAAGCCATGACTGCACTCACCCTAGGCCTGCGCGACCAAGCCTTAACTGTGTTGGAAGCTCTCGGTAAGAAAGTGACCTACGAGCAGCTCCTTGAGGCATTGGAGGCGAGATATGGCGATGCTCACCTGGAACACGTCTTTCGTGCGCAACTTAAGGATCGCGTGCAGCGCATCAACGAAAACCTGCAGCAGTGGGCTCTAGAGGTGGAGAAGCTGGTGCGAAAAGCATACCGGTCTGTACCTGCGCTCATCGAAGGGAACCTGGTGCAGACATTCATCGGCGGCATCCGCGACCTTGAGGTCAGAGCTGCTGTGGGGCTCGGGCACCACGAGACGCTTAAGGACACCTTGGCCCATGCACTGGAGGTAGAAGCCGTCCGGCAGGATCATCGTTCCCATCGCGTCAGGGAGATCGCAGCAGCTACAGTTCGCGACCACAACAAAGGATTCAGCCCTAGGTGTTACGGCTGTGGGGAAAAGGGCCATCTACGATCCAGCTGCCCTAAGCGATCTGTAGAAAGGTAAGTTGATCGATCTCGAGAGGGTAGTGCAGCTAACGTCACCGCCTGGCGGTTGCAGCAACATCATTCCCCTCACGCTAGGGAGGTTGCAGCAGTTCGCGACCACAATAAAGGATACAGCCCTAGGTGCTATGGCTGTGGGGAAAGGGGCCATCTTCGATCCAGCTGCCCTAAGCGAACCCTAGAAGGGGAAGGTGAACGATCTCAGAAGGGAAGTGCGGCTAACATCACCGCCCAGCAGCAGCCGGGATACAACTTTGAGATCGAACATCGCAGCGGGAAATCTCATGGCAACGCAGATGCATTATCACGAAGACCTTGTCCTGAAGATTGCAAACATTGTACTAGGCAGGAGAGTAAGGAAATGGTATCTGTGAGGATGCTCAGGACAGACCACATCAGCAACGAGTGGAAGGACAGCTTACAACATGCACAGCAGGAAGATCCGGACATCAAACCGATTCTGGAATGGATGAAGGCCAGTGCTCCCAAGCCCAAGTGGAGCGACGTCTCAGCGATGAGTTCGACCACTAAAAGCTATTGGGCCCAATGGGACAGCTTGCTGCTTCAGGATGGAGTTCTGTGCCGTAAATGGGAAAATGTTCAGGGAGACAGCTGTCACTTGCAAATGGTTGTCCCTAAAGCTAAAGTGCCGGATGTTATACAGCTGTACCATAATGATTGTTCCGGTGGCCATCTGGGAGTTAAACGAACTCTACTGAAGATCCGAGAACGGTTTTACTGGGTCCACTGTCGAAACGATGTCGAGGACTGGTGTCGCAAATGTACAAGTTGTGCGGCTGTAAAGGGACCTCAGACTCGTAGTAGAGGTGCATTGAAGTTGTACAATGTTGGTGCACCATGGGAGATAATAGCCATTGACGTGGCGGGGCCGTTTCCGGAGAGTGAAAGCGGTAACAAGTATTTCATGGTTGTGATGGATTACTTCACTAAGTGGCCAGAAGTCTTCGCCATTCCAAATCAAGAAGCTTCAACAGTTGCAGATAAACTAGTTCATGAAGTCTTCTGTCGTTTTGGAGTACCTTTAGAGATTCACAGCGATCAAGGAAGGAATTTTGAATCTCATATATTCCAGGAAACTTGCCGAGTTATGGGCACTCATAAAACAAGAACGACTTCTTATCACCCGCAATCTGATGGAATGGTAGAACGATTTAATCAGACATTGGAGAGGTACCTAGCAAAGTTGTAGACAATCGGCAACGAGATTGGGACAAGCATATACAACCGTTTTTGTTGTCATATCGAAGCGCTGTTCACGAAAGTACAGCAGTGACACCAGCTTTCGCAAACTTTGGAAGAGAATTACGGCTGCCTGCAGACCTGATCACCGGGATACCACCTGATGCTCCACGTAGTATAACCGATTATGCAAATGACTTGCGGAACAAAATGAATGACATTTATGAGCACGTCAGACAATCGGGCCAGCAAATGTCTGAAAAAATGAAAACCCGGTACGACCGCAAAATGAACAACAAAGGGTTCGACGAAGGTTCACTAGTGTGGTTGCATAATCCCGTCCGCAGCAAAGGGAAATCTCCTAAGCTTCAAGCTAAATGGGATGGCCCGTACCGGATTGTGACCAGGATCAACGATGTAACCTACCGGATACAGAAAGGCGCAAGAGGGACTCCTAAGATCGTCCATGTGGATCGCCTGGCGCGTTATTATGGGACCGATAATGCTCGGGACGAGCATGTCTTAGGAGGGGGCAGTGTTACGCGCCTTAGTCGACGGCACTAGCGCCTAGTTGAAACTCGAACTCTCGGTGGCTTGCGCGTGTTTACTTGAATATTCTGGATATTTCCGTGCTAATTTATATAAATAGGCGCTGCAAGATGCGATCGAGGAAGTATTGAATTCGGCGAGACAAGCGAAGCTTCGGAGCGAAATAAAGTGAATCAGTGTGATTAATTATTGGTGTTTTAAGTTTTAATTAGTGTAAAGAAAATTAAAGTGTTAATTTAGGTAATTCTATCGGCAATTTTTATTGTCACGAACCTCAAGCTCGTAACAGTATCAATAACTGAAATATTACAAAAAAAATAGTGACTTAGGTATAGTAAAAATTAATTTTTAAAAAGTTCTATCAAGTTAGGCTTTTTTTTAATTCAAGTCAAATTACAAAATAATGCTATATCACACAATATAATCTTTCTTAAATACATAAAAATTTACCAATAAATACAAATAAAATAAAAAGCCTTACTGTATTAATAGTAATTTATTGTTTCTAAAACAAAACTTATTAAATTACACTTAATTAACTATAGCGTAAGAACTTTTAAATCTTTAATAAATGTCATCACAAACTTAACTTTTTAGAATTGACCATATTTTAATAATTTGACAACAAAACTTACAGTAATTTTAAAAGTAAAATTAATAGCTTTTTCAGTCTTTTTTCATTTCAGTCTTATAATTACATAAAAATAATTATTTGGATATAACATAAGATAGATGGTAAACTATGTTTTCCAGTCTCAGTAAAATTTTAATAATAATGTACTCTGAACCGAATTTCCGTTACGCCGGCCAGTCTCAACATAGACTAGCCATCTGTGCAGTACAGAATTATAGTGCCCAAGTGTTTGCGCAAGCACAGGTTCACACTTTTGCCTCACTCTCATAATCCGATGGTAAACCGACACGACCGGAGAGAGATTAGGCGCAGGACGAACGACTTTACGTGCTTTGCGAGGCATGGGAGTGAGACTCCGCCAACTTCCTGACTCCGGGCAGCTACTGAGAATTTCTTGACGGAAAAACTCGATAATTGATTTTTTTGGCCCGACCCGTGATTCGAACCCGAGAGCTCATGATAAGCAGTCGCGTTTACAACCACTAGACCAACGAGGCAATCTTACGAATTAAATAAAAAATAGTAAAAAGTTACTTTCTTTTTTTTAAACATTACTTAGACTGGGTTTTTCTCCCATATCGTGGAGGCGTTTACAAACTTAAATAACTTAATTTGTACAAGGACAAACATGTGGTTCAGCGCAGGAATCGAACCCGCGGCCGCCAGCGTTGTAACTCACTGCTAAGCCACTGCACCACAGGGTCAATAACGGTCACCAACTCTAAAATTTATATATTTTGATTTTGAGAGATTTTGCTTTTTAACTGAGGCCAAATGTAGATGTCTATGAGCTACAGCATCCACTTACCATTAGGTGGACTGTGTGCTCGTTTGCCACAATTATTCTATAAAAAAAAATCATTCTTGTAAGGATGCTGGAATATTTAGATCAACTTTTTACACGGCCTGCATCTTATTACTAACAGACCATTACCGTTACAGCATATAAAAGTCTACTGATAAACGTGGGCCTCCCACATAGATCGTCTCATAGGGGAGATATTTGCTATAGTTGCCACACTTGGCGAATGGTATGGCAATCGCAGTTTCTTATTTTTACTTGTTATTAGAAAGTCAACATTATCCTGGTAAGATATGCAGGAAGTAGATGGATGCAGGTGGCTCAGGACCGTGCTTTGTGGCGTTACTTGGGGGAGGCCTATGTTTAGCAGTGGACTTGTGAAGAGCTGTAATGATGATGATGATGATTAGAAAGACATTGCTGTCCATCTCCTGATTTGTTTTCCTGTGTCACCTATTACGACACCCACGAAATGTGCTAGTGGATATTCTTACACCACCACTACACTGTGATACAACTAACATAACTATTGTATATTTCTAGGTGACTTCAGCTATCCACGTGGGTCTGATAATATTCGAGGACATTCCCCTCCACCTGAACATACTGGGACTGATACAGCAGCTCCTCCATGGGTCGCTGATCCGTGACTTCCCTGTAGTCAAAGTGACAAGTGTAACTTTTATTTTGGCCGTAGCCAACCTGGTGCTGCACCATTATATGGCGTTTATGTACTTTGGAAATGTGTACTATAGTTTTTCGGAAGTGAGTATTCTTTAATATTTGTCATCATCAACATTACAGCCCTTCACAAATCCACTGCCAAAACATAGGCCTTCAAAGAATGCCACAAAGCATGGTCCGAAGCCATCTGAATTCATTGACTTCCTGCATGTCTCACCAGGTCGTCACTCCATCTAGTGGGGGGCCGCCCTACACTTCGCCTACCGGTACGAGGCTATCACTTGATAACCTTTTTGTCCCATCGGTTATTGTTTCTTCGAGCTATATGGCCGACCCATTGCCACTCCAGCTTAATCCGTTGGGCTATGTTGGTTACTCTGGTTCTACTGCGGATATTCTCATTTCTAAGTTTGTCACGCAGAGAAACACCGAGTATAGCCCTCCCCATAACTCTTTGAGCGACCTTGAGCCTGCTCATATGGCCAGCAGTGAACGACCACATCCCAGATCCATAAATGCTCACCAAGTCTTCACTCCATCTAGTGGGAGGCCACCCTACTCTTCGCCTACCGGTTGAGGCTGCCATCCAAGTAGTAGTTAATGTTATTTTTATTTATTTTATAAAATAAGGGTGACAATCGAGCACACATTCCACCTGATAGTAAGTGGATGCTGTGGTCCATAGACATCTACATTTATAAAATATAAAAAGATGCCCATTGCTGGTCTGGGTACTTTACTTCTGACTTAAACGCGATGCTTATACCACCATCTTTGCACCATAGTCGTCTCTTCCAATACAAGACACTACGTATTGGGGATATGGATTCGCTTACGCTGCTACAACATGGTGAATACTGCCTACAACAGGGGAGACATGACTAGTTTTTTTTTTAAATATAACCCATACATTAGGATTTTCTCCTGTATCGTGAAGGCAGTTTACAAACATAAATTGTAAAAGGACAAACATCCAGACCCGGAACAATTACTCTTGTTCCGTGCGGGATTCGAACCTGCGGTAGCGCCTGAACTCATGCTAAGTCACTCCGCCACGGAGCCGTCAGTATTTAACAGTCACGGGCCAATAAAGAAGTTATAATTAACAGAAACAGAAACTTTTTTATTCAACGTAGATTATAACAATACTTATTGAAAGTCACTTTTTTCATTTACCACTGATTCGCAAAAAAAACCTCTGTCCTGAGAAGAACCAGCAAGAAACCCAGCGGGACTATTTTTTTTTTTCAATAATAGCTTACAATAATATTTACAATAAACAACACAAGACAAATTAGAAATAGCTTCACCCTTCCCAGGGGGTTATTATCATCCATAAATTCCTTAAATATTATAATAACTCTTTTTATACAAACTTAGTTTAATAACATTTTTGAACTTTTTGTATGACAAATTTTGTATATTTTCTGGGATTTTGTTGTAAAAGCGTATACATCGCCCCAGGAATGAATTACTGACTCGGTGGAGTCGAGTAACTGGTACTACTAGTTTGTGTCTGTTCCTAGTATTTACAGAATGAATATCACTTATTTTCGCAAAACTACTTTTATTTTTGTGTACGTACATTACATATTCATAAATGTATTGTGAGGCCAGAGTTAATATTATATTAATTTCCTTAAATTTTTATCTCAGTGACTCTTTTGGTTTTAAATTATATATTGCTCTAATGCCCTCTTCTGTAAAATAAATATAATTTCAGTGTCAGTCGCGTGTCCCCATAGCAAAATACTATACGACATAATGCTATGGAAATAACTAAAGTAAATTTATAGTTTCAGCCTACATACGGCCCACCGCTGGGCACAGCCCTCTTCTCAATTATGAGAAGGGCTTAGGGCAAGGAAGTGTTCGCCGAGCTATCCCAGCGCGTGTTGTCGGACTTCACATACCTTCGAAATTTTTTTTCTTAATTCTATAACATGCAGGTTTCCTCACGATGTTTTTCTTGGCCCCCAAACACTTGGTAAATCAGCACCTATAATTCCAATTCACAATTTCATTGGTGCCGGCGGGAATCGAACTCGAGTTGCTCGCGTACTGTGAAATTTACTGCCAGCGTTTAGCCTCTGAGCTATCACGGCCCGGTTTATTAATTAGTAAAATATATATACTACGTAGTTAATTATCATTTTTATTTTGTTCTTTATTCTATATTGATACACCTACGTCAAATTCTCACCACTCTATAGGTTTGGTTGAGAACGCCTCAAAGCATTAAGTCCGCCATTTGTGTCATTTTGTTTTAAGACATACAATAAAGAATAACTATTATATAAAAATTTATGTTTATTTGTTCGTATTTTATGCGCTGCCATACCGTTCATCAGCTCTAAGGTTATAGGCATAGTACAATTAATTTATTGTCGGTGACGCGCGTATCATACCAATTTCAATTCCAAATATAAAAAAATACATTTACGCAATATTTTCCGCATGTAAATAATAAATAAATAAATAGTATAACGGACGGCGGACAATTCTTTGCACTAAAACCCTCTCAGAAATGGCCTGTGCCCAGGAGTATGGACGTTTGTAGGCTGTAACTTTAACTAACTTAAATAGTAAAAAGGAACTCTTAATATCTAGAAAATAAACTGTCTGTTTACTTAATAAGCACGATTTAATATTTCCAGGTGCTGGCGTACTTCACGCTGTGCTTGTGGGTGGTGCCATTTGCACTGTTTGTATCCCTGTCAGCCAACGACTACGTGCTGCCCACAACGGGAGAGAAGCAACCGCTGCTGGGTAAATACTATATACTTAAATTATTTTATAGCAACTAATGCTGCTGTGTTTCGTATGGTCAGTGTAGAGAATCGGATACCCTTTTTACTGAAAACGGGGCATTCCGTCTTAGTTCTCAGGGGTGACAACGCATCTGCATTTTGATTGTTATTAGGGATAAATGGCCACAGCATTTATTTACCATCAGGCGGACTGTGTGCTCGTATGTCACGCTTATTATATAAAAACATACATATTACTGCAAATTTTGCGGTTATCTACCTTTTCTGGAGCTCAAATCCCGGGTCGGGCAAAAAGTCAGTTAATGGGTTTTCTGTTATACTGCTCACTACCATCTCGGAATCAGAATGTTGGCAGTGTCTCACCCTCGTGCCTCGAAAAGCACGTAAGGCTATTTGTCCTGCGCCTGAACTCTCTCCGGTTGTGTCGGATAGCCTTCTCATTGAACTTTGAAAGTGAGGGAATAGAGAGTGCACCTGTACTTGTGCATACAATAAAACATTATATTTCGGTCTTATGCAGATGGCCAATCTCAGATCTGACTGGCCGCCGTGATCAAAATTCGGTCTAGAGGATGATGTTAACGTGCCTATATACTCGACCCAAGTTGTGCGCAGAAGAATTAGTGTGACAAACGAGCACACAGTCCACCTGATGATTAGTGGATGCTGTGGCCCATAGACATCTACAGTTAACCTCGATTAAGAATCAAATGTAGATACGTTGACACCCCTGAGGACTAAGATGGAATGCTTTAATTCCAGTAAAACGGGTCTCCGGTTCTTTACACTCATCCTACGGAACACAGCAGCATCAAGCTGCTATTTTACGCTGGTATTCTGTGAGAGCGTGGTCCTTCCCCTTTCGAGCTGACCCTTTCGTGCTACAACCATAATATAGCTGCAGCGTGGCTCTACGTCGTATACAAAATTCGAGCTCGAAGGTTCAAATCCTCTCGTACTGTGCACGAGTGTAATAACAATTAATTTGTTGTTTAACTGTGTAGTGGGGTGTAAGAATATCCACTATCACATATCATCTCGTGGGTGTCGTAAGAGGCGATAGAGGGATACAAATCAGGAGATGGGCCGCAGCGTCTTCTTAATAATCACTAAAAATAAAAAAATTGCGGTTGCTCACCCGCTTGCCAAGCGTGGCAACTATATCAAATATCCCCCCTTTTTTTTTTTTAACACGGGGAAATGCCTACGCATACCCGCCTCGCAGGGGCAAAGACAGGTTATGTCAGACTCGCACCGACTAAAACCCCATGGTGTTCCACCTTCGTCGCATATTGGCAGGGCTACGGGAACGCTTTCGCACACTTCCGCGACCCTACCAGCGACTGCCGCCCCATGGCAGCACCTCCTCGGGAGAGGAATATTCCTCCCCATTCTCCTTCCCAGGTAAGGCGCACCAGAACACATGGCACGCCTTCCTCCACGGCCTCCAATTGCATCTGCGCAACAGACGCCCCCGCGTCCGATGCGCGAAGGCCATGGGGCCAGGAAAAACGAGCACTTAGAAGTACTAGCCTTCCCGACCCCAGCGGCGGATCTGGTCTATGGCTCCGCCGCCAACCAAGATTCGGCTGCGGAGGATAGGGAGAGCGGCGCCTCGCAATACCGACAATCCTCTCCCCCCGCAGCCCCATCACTACCGCATCAACGGTGCGGCCCCGTTTGAGTCGCGGAGGATAGGGCGAGTGGCGCATCGCCATACCAACACTCCTCTTCCTCCGCGACTCCATCTCGGCTGCAGCGGTAGAGGGTGCGGAGTCCCCACTCGCTGTAGTCCACCAGCACACATCCGAAGGGGGCTCTTGGGGAGCCCAATCCCACTCGGAGTGGCCATCTCAGGCCGGCCCTTCACCTCGGGCCAGCCACGTGGGTTCCTCTTTGTTCACTGGCCCCCCCCACGGGAACCAGGGGGATCAAATATCCCCGGCATCTAGGGCTTTTTACTTTACTATAGGATGTAACGGGGAGGATCAAAAGGAAATTTGCTACCGATACGATAGTATGGTTGCAGCACGTATGGGTCGACTCAACCGGGGTAAGACCATGTCCTCACAAAATACCAGCGTAAAATAGCAATTTAATGCTGCTTTGTTTCGTATGGTAAGTGTAGAGAACCGGAGACCATTTTTTTTTCGACAAACGGGGCATTCCATCTTAGTCCTAAGGGATGACAACGCATCTGCATTTTGATTTTTAATCGGGGTTAACTGTAGATGTCTATGGGCCACAGCATCCACTTACTATCAAGTGAACTGTGTGCTCGTTTGTCAACCATATTCTATAAAAATACATATATACAAATAGTAGATATTATTTTATATATACTTAATAGACATTTACATGGAAATGGGAGATGTCATTATATTTAATATATGTTTTTTTTTCTATTTCAGGCGATAACAATGTTGTTACAGATTATTTATCACGTAAAGGAAAACCATACAGCCTTCTATCCTTCTTCAGCTTCGCAAAAGACTCGATACTTCCGCAGAGAAGTAAGAAGTCATTCTGAAGACATTAACAGTAAGGAGTATAGTTAGAAAAGGATAAAACATATTTAAGTCACCAAAGTTTTAGATGATATCACCATACATTCTATGGTGATTTTCTTAACATGCTGTATAATAATAATTTTAGTATTACGTCAGTTCTAAATTCGACAATTTAATTGGTTGAAAAATTTTTTAGGGATAAATCGTGTATGTTAACATTATTTTACCTGTCTTGCGGCAACATACACACACACACACACACACACACACACACACACACACACACATATATATATATATATATTTCATATGTATGGCTTACTATCTTTCGAATGATATAATGGGTAGAAGTCAGAATAATCGACCGCAACTCACATGAAGTCCGGGTAGTAACATTACTCACCTGATAAGAAAATGTTACTCACAGGAATAATAGGATGCTTTCACATTAAAACAACAAATAGGTACATATTTTTATTTATTGTTAGACTGACACAACTGCTAATATCAACAAATGTATTTTTAACAAGTTCACCACCGAAAACATGCTTTAAAAACTACAACCTACTCAAAACAATTACTTAGGCGGTGAAAATAACAAAACAAAAAAAAGGAACTTTATTACTTAAAAAGGAACTTTAATATATTTATAACAACTGGTAACTTGAGTGATAATTATGTAATTCTTTAATCAAAATATATATAATCATCGTCATCAAGAAATACAAAATCAGTCTCATTTTCATTGATCGACATTAATTCTACAGTCTTGACAATATTCTTACAATCTATTAGCTCCACTTCCATTGACTTTGTCTTAATAAATTTTGTATTGTCATTTTTGCCAACTTTTCTTAAAAAGATATTTTTACCTTGTCATTGACAGGTTTTTCCAAAACTGTGCCTACAAAATATTCCACTCTTTTTTTTTTAAAAGTATCTAACCAATACATAATCGTATTTTTTTTAAATCAATGGGAACAGTTTCTAAGTTGGAACTTGAAGAGGGCTGTGGTTCTAAATTTTGATTCGCCTCTAAAGCAACGGGTTTATTCAAATGCAACATAGTATCTGGGATAAGGCAAGTTTTAGTCTTTTCAATTTTAACTTTTACATTTTTTTTTGCAGCCTTTAGATTTTGATTTATTAATATTAAAATCTGTATCTTGCATATCTGGGCTATCTGATTTAGAAGCAACGTCGCAAATATCTGAATCACTGTGCACACTCATAGCGATAATACTTATTTTATATAACTTTTTTTCTTTTCTTTTAATCTCTTTTCTTGTTTTTCGTTTAAGCCGGTCATAGTTTTTAGTGTTAAGTGATGATAAGTTTTCTTTATTTTCATTATTGGTAACAATTTTTGGGGTACATTTTGAGGGCGGAATTCTAACTTGCTTGTTTTACAGTCGTCGAGACGTTAGTGTTAATATTAAGTGAATTCTGATTTTTTGCCATCAATACAATTTTTGTTCCAGCAGTTTCCCGAATGATGCAACTACTTGCTTTTGTTTTCGATTGAAAAATTCCACCTTCGTCATGTATAATGTCAATGTCATTGGTTGATATTCCATGTGAAACCACGGGAATTTCTGGCAGCACTGCTCCGCGTTCATTCAATTGCCCAGCTTCCTCATTGTTGCGCATCCTTTTACTAACATTGGTTGAATAATTTATCTTGTGGACTATAGTTTTTTTTCAGGACGTGAGTTTTCGCGTTGTAGCATTCGAAAATCCCTCTTGGCAAAGATGACTCACAGAAACAACTGACATTGCGGTACCTTAGTCTTGTTGATGGAACATGATAAGTAATTTGATGTAATCGAGTAGTAAGTGGTACTAGATCCAAGTCATTCGGTATCTGGTTCTGTGCATCCCGAATATTGATTTCAGAGACTGAAAATATTGTAACAGATGATTCTTCAGTTAAAATAAACACAGCATCATCGGCACAGCTAACATAATTTCCACATGCCACTTTTTGATCCAGCAGTCTTTTTATAGCACCACCTACTCCATCGGCAGCACCCTTGCCGTGCGCAGCTTCGAAAAACGTCCAGGTTCCAAAAGTTAATTTATACTTTTTGCATAACTGTAAACTGGTAAAATTTTTTTTTTGTTTATATTGCGTACTTGGACCGTCTGAGAAAAAAATGTATGGTATCTATGTCGAGATTGCTTGTTAATAATAATTCAATTATAGGTTCTATGTGTGCTCTGATGGCTCCAGGGTCGTGTAAGTTACAGTCGGACAGAGAAGCAAAAGGAACCTTTTTTTGTTGTAAATATACCATGCCAGTGTGGATCGTAATTTGGCCCTTTGATGCTCCGAAATGAAGAGCCTGTATCTCTTCTCCTAATTTACAGGAATAATTTTCTGAGAAATCTATTATTAGAGCTGCTTCATTGGGTAGTAGGTTATCAATAACTTCTTGATATTTTTTTGTGCTGATGATTTATATTAAAGAAATGCTGCCGGAATGCACGTAGATCAGCTAAAAACATCTCTTTGAGTTCTGAAAATGTACTCTTAATACTTTCTTTAACATATTTCTTTGTAGTAGTAATTTTTCTTTCTATTCCCTTCTCAAACGTAAATTCCTTTCTAATCCACTATATCCATGTGCATTCTGTATTGTTTGTAATATCTATCAAATTCATTTCAGGATTGTTGTCTTTACACTTTTCACAATTTAAATATATACAGTCGTACGATTCAACGCTGCACACACTCGATGCAACTAATTCTTGCAAATCGAAGTACCTATAACGCCAATTTTCTTTAAATGAGCAACTTTGAAGGCTAAATTACTGTGCTTTATACATGCAACGGTGTTTCTATCACTCAACTTTGGCCGTACCACATTTCTTGGCCTATTTCTTCTGAAAGTTGAAAATGAAGCTTTTCCTCCCTCGCTTACATATTTTGTGTAAAGTTTCTTCAATGAAGTAAGCAAGAATCGCTTCTGTAATTTATCATTACCTCTACCAACACATTCCTTCTCGCCAGCTGTCATTCTAGTGTTATCATCCCTGTTGAAAAAAACACGTATTTTTTTAGCTTCTGTCCTTTCCTTTTTCTTAAATTTTCTTACTCTCCCTTTCAGTCCCAATGATTTCGAAATATCAGTTTTCAGATTATATTTTTCTACTGCTTCGGATGAAACAATGTCTTTTAGGATCTGTTTTGATTTATTGGACATGTTTTTCATATGCTGTCTGTAACGAAGCACTGATCACATTCAGCTGCAGGATCTATTTTTTAACTTTATTTTTTTCAGGAGTGGATATGGATGGAATATTTTCATTTATAAAAGATAATGTTTTAGACATGGGAGTTTTTTCACGTAAATCTTCATTTTCAGATTTGTCAGTTGTGGTCAGTCCGGATAAGGTAGTTGGTGCATTAATGTCTGTAGGTACAGATTCGCTTTTTGTTTTATTCTCTGATGAGTTTATTAAAGATTTGTTTTCCGTTCGTTCTGAATTTGAGATCAATTTGCGCAGCTCTTCAATTTTAATTTTATGTCTATATAGGTTTTTTTGTAAAGCATGTTTCTTCAGCAATATATTATCTATAACTTTCTTTTGATCTGTTATTCGCTTCTTCAATTTTTCACATAATCGTGCATTTAATGCACAACACTTGTTGTTCTTTGGTTTTGTTACACCACCTTCTTTTTGTTTTTTTTTTGGCAAGTCTCCATTCGCGTCGCTTTTTTTCCCTTTTCTTTTTCAGTCAGTTCTGCAATTGGTCTTCTAGCAGCTTTCATGTATTCTCTATGCTTCTTCTTTTTCTCCATGTATTTTTCTGAATTTTTTTTTATTTTTTCACGGTATTTTCTTTGTCTCTCAGCATTTGACATTGGCGCCATCTAAAAGTAAGCATGTAAAGTCAATTAGTTTTAATTTATGCACAAATATGTCCAAAAAGTCCAATCCATGAAATATTAAAATAATAATAATAGATTATTCCAGAAATAGATGCCAGTATATTTCATGCATATATATAAATATATAAAAAATAAACAAAAACCGACAGACGAATTGAGGGTTCTCAATTCGTCGGTCGGTTTTTCTTTTTTTTTGTATATAAAAATATAAAAACTAAAATACCTCCTTTTTTTGAAGTCAAAGTAAAAAAGTTAAAAATACGAACAAAACCAAGCGGTTCGGAAGATGAATGAGGTTTTCGTTCGGAGTGAACAACTCGTTACTGATAGCAGGTGCAGTTACTATACAAACTGATTCGTTTTACCAAGTGTTACTCACAAATCTATAAAATCCTGTGAGTAACAATTAGCAGTATGAACTAGCCCTAAGTCGTGTTACGTTATCCACAGGAAGGAAAAATATGGATTATAACCTCTAAAATGCATCGTCATACAACAAATATTTTACCTTGAAAACAATGTCTCTGTGTTGTATGAGCACCAAAACGTACTATTTCAGACTGTGTATCCAGACCCGCGTAATTCACTTTAGAATTTATCTCACTCACTAGTTTTTCACAGGAATATTTTGGACAATTTTTTTTGTGCGCGCACCTTTTCAACCAAAACTTAATGAAGTGACAAGATGGCGTTCTCAAAAGTCACGAGATGTGAGTAACAGTGTTGCTAGCATAAAATATAATTGCGATATGGTAGAATTCCTTTTCGGGAGCGTTTAAAAGACCGTTATCTACCTGGAGTTAATCACAGGAATGATATTTGGGATTTTATTATAAACAGTAATTAAATAATTATAGACGCAATAAATTAACGATTACATGAATGAAAACAATAATTAAGTCACCGGTTTTTACTTAACAGTATATAATATTGCAAAAATTGCTTAGTATTGATTATTTTATAATATGTAAATTTTCATTACGCAATAGGACACTTTAATTTTGTATGGACGTGAAATTAGTGACTTAATTTGCTAATATTTTTTTCGGTATAGTTATATTCTAAACATAACTAAAATGGCTTGTTTTCCTGTAAATTAATTGTCCTTAAAACAAAATTGGTTATAACATGTTATGACCCGAACTAATCTTTAAATAAGCTGAAAACGGTCGAGGACACATATTTTTTAAAACCATGTACTATTATTTTGACCTCTACCGTAATATATTCATACCCACCCGTTATAATAAATACTAAATACTAGCGATGAAAAAAAATGATTGAAAATTTTCGTTGTTCACGTATTAACACTTTCACTGTCCGATTTGCGGACACTTTCAGACACACTAGTATAACAATAGCAACGAACTATATGTGGTACATGAGACAGTGAGTGGGTTAAGTTAGATAAGTATATATGAGGATCTAAAAAAGGTTAAGAGCCGTAGTAACACAGGAGCTAAGCGCTCCCTAAATTTCACAGTACGCGAGCAAACCGGGTTCGATCCCTGTTGACACCAAGGATTGTTAATTGTTCGGTAACGAAGGAAAACATCGTGATGAAATGCATGTAAAAATATTTCGAAGATATGTGAAATACGCCAACACGCATTAGGGCAGCCCGGCGGACGTATCCTTGCCCTAAAAACCTCTCTGAAATTAAAGGAGATTGATTAACGGAACGTTACTCATTTTTTTAATAAGCTGTTAGCTTCGCGTTTAGAAGCCAATAGAGTATATCTATTTATGTATGTAACGGAATCTTTTAATGTAATTTTCACCAACTTGTAGACCGAACTTGTAGGCCGATTGACTTGAAAATTTGCGCTCATATCAAAGACTGATAAAAATACAATAATTTAATAACCTTTTCGTAGTATCGTGATCAGAATCACCAGGATAATTATTTTTAAGTTTTTTTTTTAAAGTTTTCTTAAATTGCAATATTATGTCTTTACTTTTTTGGACATTTGCGCATCTGCCAATGTTTAGGTATATAAAAACAGCTTGAGCCAGTGGACATTAGATATGATAGCGTCTCAAGGCTAGGCGTCGTGGCAGACAAAATTACTTGAGACTTACATTACCATCGAATCACTTATTTGATTTATCCAATATTATTTTTAATATGCGTAGACATTAAAATACACAAAGTCGCACCACATTTACGTTTAAAGTGTCAAAATCCACTTCAAACCTTTATAAAAAAAATGATACACGTACCACATTCGTCAGCGGTCCAATGTCCGCCAAAACTCCCTGATCCCTTGTTAATTTCCTTTTTAAATGCTCGTAAAAGACAAAAACCTAAAGACCATACAGCCATAGTTATAGCACAATATTATTATTTTATTACTATTAGGTGTATATATGTTACTTTAATGTATTTTAAATACATAATTTGCATATAGATTATTTGTTAGCTTAGCTTAGCTACAACACTACCACAATCTTTAAAAACAAAGTTTTCTTAGCAAATTTTTTTTTTGTTGTAATAGCACTTGAAAAATGTTACCACTGTTAGTATTTAACCATGATGTTCATATTTGCTGGATTTTTTTGTAAAACCTTGATTTATCTCGGGATGCTAAATGTACTAGAATGTTCGCCATAGACCAACAGAACTAATATTTAACATATTAGGTATTTTATATACACATTAATACTCACTAAAATACGTGTAATTGTATCGTTTTTTTATATTTATGAAAAACTGTTTTTAGTAAAATAAGTCCTAATTTTTTTTGATCTAGAAGCGTCTAGGTCTTTTCTTCAAACGTGACTGTTTTCGTGTTTTTAAACAATAATGCTGCAATTACACAACTGTCCATTTCGGATGCTCGGGGACTTATGATAGCTCGGCCTGCCTCGCGAGGCATGCCTTTGAGTTCCGGATAAAATACTGAGGCTGCCTCGCGAGTCTTCGCTCGCAATCCCCGCACCGCGCTAACCCGTGCGCTAGGTGTGTACGCGGCTATTTGTGCGTCAGACTGTTATACAGTCAAAAAGTCGTCAAAATGTGTAAGTGAGATCTAATAATCTGCCGCTCACTAGATGTTAACGTTGTATCGGATGTAAATGTTGTATCGGATGTAAACTTTGTATCAATACGTAGAAAATATGTAGTCTTGTTAGTATCTCCAGATCCACGAACATCGAAAACATCGCGAATAAAACCTGCATGTTTGAGCAATAAAAAAAGCAGCAGGGGCCAGCGCAGTGAACACTTCCTTGCCCTCTCAGAAGTGATAGGAGGCCTGTGCCCAGCAGTGGGACGTATATGGGCTGTAACTTTACTTTAACTTTTAACTTGTATGTATAGGTTATGGGCTAGAAATTTAATTTGCTAGTCAAATAAGAGACAATCTTGTATAAATTATTGTGAAGGTGTTGTGAAGTATACTTGACTACAAATCGCTTCCGTGTGATTACTCGCCGTTACTGTGGTAGACTCGTATCGGTAGGCCAAATATAGGGCGGTCCCCCACTAGATGGAGTGCAACCTGGTGGGATATGCAGGAATTCGATGGATGCAAGTGGCTCAGGAGCGCTCAGGCATTCCTTGGGGGAAGCCTATGTTCAGCAGTGGAATTATGAAAGGCTGTAATGATGATGAAAGCCGTGGTGTTTCAGAGGCTGCGCTAGTCGTAAATTTCGACCTTATTTTCTAGGTCGTGGAACGCTTTTTCTACCTAGGGGTCCGTCTGTATAGATACCACTTTGTAACCTATCTCTACTGCCAAATAGTGCTTGCACTGATGTGTTCCAGACTGAAGGGTATAGAAAGCCAGTATAATTACAAGCTGCAAGGTATTCTATCTTAGGTAACAAAGCAAAAACAAAAGATATATAGGAGGATCTTTTTACCGTCTGGCAAAAAATAGGGTGTAACATGTGAACGGAGTAGAAGCCTATGGCACTGATATTTTACATAAAAAAATTGTTTTAAACGTTTGAAAATTTTTTTTGAAAAATACTTTGCCCTTTTCCCTTGAGCCTGTGAAGTGACAAGTTCAAAGAGGCCTACTAAATTTATTGTTTGACTGCCGTTCGTAAAGTAGGGTGGATATGATTTGATGTTGAATTAATTAAAATCTATCGACATAGCAAATCATATCCACCCTACTTTACGAACGGCAGTCAAACAATAAATTTAGTAGGCATCTTTGAACTTGTCACTTCACAGGCTCAAGGGAAAAGGGCAAAGTATTTTTCAAAAAAAAATTTTCAAACGTTTTAATCAATTTTTTTATGTAAAATATCAGTGCCACAGGCTTCTACTCCGTTCACATGTTACACGCTATTTTTTCCCAGACGGTAAAAAAGGTCATGCAGTATAAATGCAACAATATTTTCTTATTGAACTTAAATACTTCAGCGACACCTACAACGGTTTACCTTTTCTAAACTAATGCTCATGTTATCAAAACCTGTAAAAAAGTTACAATTTAAATATATTTAATATTCGGTTGTAAATATTGGTGTGTTTTTTTTATTTTATTGTGTAAATATATACGATTACGTGTTGTGATAAATAAATGTATAAAATTAATATATGTGTTTCTTTTATTCCCAAAAGTTGACCCCTACACGCCCGGGTTGACTAAAAATGCTGACTATGATGAGATATGGACGTATTCTTCCAAACACACTTCAAATATAAGTCAAAAATCGTAAATCTTGGAGTAAAAGTTAACTATCGTGTTGACGATTACAATGATGATGACGATGTCGATGACCATGATGATGAAATTGACCAGGACGATGTCGATGACGATGACGATGATGATGACGATGACGATGACGACGAAGACGATGAATGACGATATGACGATGACGATAATGATGACAATGACGATGTTGGCGACGATGACGATGATGGAGAGTGGATACGAAGACGATGACGATGATTATTGCGATGATGATGACGATGATGAAGAGGACGAATGACAAAGACGAAGACGGTGACGATGATTCTGAAAATAATGACGATGACGATGATGATGATGATGTCGTTGATGATGATGATGAAGATTACAATGATGATGACCATGACGATGAAATTGACCTTGACGATGACAGATGACGATGATGGAGAGGAAGACGATGACGATGATGATAACGATGACGACGACAATGACGGTGATGATGATGATGAATATTACGATGACGGATTATGATGATGACGATGATGATGACAATGACATGTCGATGATGATGACGATGATCATATGATGACAATGACGTCGATGACGATAAGATGACAGATAACGATGACGATGATGGAGACGAAGACGATCATGATAACGATGACGATGATGAGAAGTGACGATGATGATGACAAGATGATGATGAATGACAATGACGTATTCAATGTCGATGATATGACGACGATGACGATGATAATGACAATGACGATGTCGATGATAATGACAATGATGATGTCGATGACAATGACGATGTCGATGATGGGATGACGATGATGACGACGATGATGATGACAATGACGACGATGATGACGATGACGATGATAATGACGAAGACGATGACGATGATCATTACGAGATGATGATGATGACGACGATTACAATGACGATGACGGACAAACGACGAAGACGATGACGATGATAATGATGACGATAACTATGATAGTGATTACGATGACGATGATTACTAAGAGTACGATGACGATAACAATGACAATGACGATGTCGCTGACGACTACAATGACGGTGACGATGATGATGAATATGACGATGACGATGATGAAGACGATGACGATGAAAATGACGATGCAGATGATGGTGACGAGATGACGATGATTCGACGATGACGATAACAATGACAATGACGGTGTCGCTGACGACGTACAATGACGATGACGATGATGATAAAGATGACCATGACTTTGATGGTGACGATGATGATGACGAATGACGATAGTGATGATCACGATGACGATGATAATGTACGATGTTGATGACAATGACAATGACGATATCGATGACGATGTTGATGACGATGATGAAAAGATGATGAATATGACGATGATGGTGACGATGATGAAGAGGACGATGACGTTGATGGTGAAAATGATGATGACGATGACGATGATGATGACTATGCTGTTGACGATGACGATGACAATGACGATGACGATTTCGATGCATGATGATGAATGACCATGACGATGTCGATGACGATGACGATAATGATGACAATGACGATGATAATGACGATGACGACGACAATGTTGATGATCATGACGATGACGATGATAAAGACGATGACGATGAATATGACAATGACAATGATGATGACGATGACAAGGACGATGACGAAGACGATGACGATGATGCTGAATGACGATGACGACGATGATGATGAGCCGTTGACGATGATAATGACGATGACGATGATGATGACGATGTCGATGACCATGACGATGAAATTGACATTGACGAGTCGATGACGATGACGAGACGATAATGACAATGACGATGACGATGACGATGACGATGATGGCGACGAAGACGATGACGATGACGATGACGAGATGATAACGATGACGATGACAATGACTGTTGATGATGATGACGATGAACAACGACGTACGATGACGATGACAACATGACAATGACGATGTCGATGACTCATGACGATGACGATGATGAAGAGGACGATGATGATGACGATGACGATGACGAAGACGAAATGACGAATGAAAAAATAACGATGATGATGATGATGACGTTGACGATGATGATGACGATTACAGTGATGATGACATGTCGATGACCATTACGATGATGATGACAATGACGACGATGATAATGACAATGACGACGATGATGACGAAGACGACGACGATGACGAAATAATGATGACGATGACTGATAATGATGACGATGACGATGATATACGATAACAATGACAATGACGATGTCGCTGACGACGACAATGACGGTGACGATGATGATAAAGATGACCATGACGATGACGATGAAGATGATGATGACGAAGACGATTACGATGATGCTGAAAATGATGATGACTATGACGATGATGATGGCGATGACGATGATGATGATGATGACGATAACAATGACGATGACGATGTCGATGACCTGACGATGAATGACCATGACGATGACGATGAAGATGACGATGACGATAATATGACGATGACAATGACGATGTTGGCGACGATGACGATGATAGTGGATACGAAGGCGATGACGATGACGATATGATTACGATGACGATGATGATGACGATGACGATGACGATGACGATGATGAAGAGGACGATGATGATGAATATGACAATGATGATGATGATGACGAAGAGGACGATGACGATGATGATGAAAATGATGATGACAATGACGATGGTGATGACGATGCTGTTGATGATGATGATGACGATGACAATGATGATGACGATTTCGATGTCCATGATGATGAAATTGACCATGACGATGACGATGACGATAATGATGACAATGACGATGATGATGGCGATGACAATGACGACGACAATGTTGATGATCATGACGATGACGATGATGAAAAAGAGGATGATGATGAATATGACAATGATGATGACGAAGATGACGATGACGAAGACGGTGACGATGATGATGAAAATAATGACGATGACGAAGATGATGATGATGCCGTTGATGATTATGATGACGATTACAATGATGATGACGATGTCGATTACCATGACGATGAAATTGACCTTGACGATGTCGATGACGATGACGATAATGATGACAATGACGATGATGATGACGATGTCGATGATGGAGACGAAGACGATGACGATGATGATAACGATGACGATGACAATGACTGTCGATGATGATGACGATGACACAGACGATGACGATGATGATGACAATGATTATGACTGACAATGACGTTGTCGACGATCATGACGATGACGATGATGAAGAGGACGATGATGATGAATATGACAATGATGATGACGATGACGAAGAGGACTCTGACGAAGACGAAGACGGTGACGACGATGCTGAAAATAATGACGATGATGATGATGATGACGATTACAGTGGTGATGACGATGTCGATGACAATGATGATGAAATTGACCTTGACGACGTCGATGACGATGATGTTGACAATGACGATGACGATGTCGATGATGATTAGAATGACTATGTCGATGATGATGATGACAATGACGATGATCATGATGATGATGATGACGTTGACAATGTCGATGATGATGACGACGACGATGACGATGATGACGATGACGATGATAATGACGATGATCGTTACGATGATGATGATGATGATGAAGACGATGACAATGACGATGATGATGACGATCAAAATGACGATGATGATGATGCTGATGACGATGACGGAGACGAAGACGATGACGATGATAATGATGACGATGACGATGATTACTACGATGACGATAACAATGACAATGACGACGACATGACGGTGACGATGATGATGAAGATGACGATCACGATGACGATGATGTCGTTGATGATGATGATGACAATTACAGTGATGATGACGACGTCGATGACGATGATGTTGACAATGACGATGTCGATGATGATGACAATGACGGTGATCATGACGAAGACGATGACGATAACGAAAACGATGACGATGACGATGATGATGACGATGACGATGACGATGATTACGACGATGACGACAATGACAATGACGATGTCGCTGACGACGACAATGACGGTGACGATGATGATGAAGATGACGATGACGAAGACGATGAAGATGATGATGACGATGATGACGATGACGACGACAATGTTGATGATCATGACGATGATGATGACGATGATGAAGAAGACGATGATGATGAATATGACTATGACGATGATGATGACGATGACGAAGACGGTGACGATGATGCTGAAAATAATGACGATGACGAGGATGATGATGATGCCGTTGATGATTATGATGACGATTACAATGATGATGACGATGTCGATGACCATGACGATGAAATTGACCTTGACGATGTCGATGACGATGACGATAATGATGACAATGACGATGATGATGACGATGTCGATGATGGAGACGAAGACGGTGACGAAGACGATGACGATGACGATGACGATGATGATAACGATGACGATGACAATGACGATGATGATGACAATGATGATGACAATGACGTTGTCGATGATCATGACGATGACGATGATGAAGATGACGATGATGAATATGACAATGACGATGATGATGACGATGACGAAGACGAAGAGAGTGACGACGATTCTGAAAATAATGACGATGATGATGATGATGTCGTTGATGATGATGATGACGATTACAGTGATGATGACGATGTCGATGACCATGACGATGAAATTGACCTTGACGACGTCGATGACGATGATGTTGACAAGGACGATGACGATGTCGATGATGATGAGAATGACTATGTCGACGATGACGATGATGACGATGACGATGATAATGACGAAGACGATGACGATGATCATTACGATGATGATGACGATGATGATGATGAAGACGATGACAATGACGATGATGATGACGATGAAAATAACGATGATGATGATGCTGATGACGATGACGGAGACGAAGACGATGACGATGATTACTACGATGACGATAACAATGACAATGACGACGACATGACGGTGACGATGATGATGAAGATGACGATCACGATGATGATGATGATGTCGTTGATGATGATGATGACGATTACAGTGATGATGACGATGTCGATGACCATGACGATGAAATTGACCTTGACGACGTCGATGACGATGATGTTGACAATGACGATGTCGATGATGATGACAATGACGATGATCATGACGAAGACGATGACGATAACGAAAACGATGACGATGACGATGATGATGACGATGACGATGACGATGATTACGACGATGACAATGGCGATGTGACGATGATGATGAAGATTACGATGACGATGACGAATATGATGATGACGAATATGATGATGACGATGACGATGATGATAACGATGATGATGATGGAGACGAAGACGATTACGATGACAAAGACGATGACGATGACGATGACGATGATGATGACGATGATGATGATGGAGACGAAGACGATTACGATGACAAAGACGATGACAAAGACGATGACGATGTTGATGACGATGACGATGACGATGACAATGATGATGACGAGGAAGATGATGATGACGATGACGATTATGATGATTATGATGACGATGATGATGACGATGACGATGATGGAGACGAAGACGATTACGATGACGATGACGACGACAATGACGGTGACGATGATGATTACGATGACGACGACGATGATGATGACGATGATGATGATGGAGACGAAGACGATTACGATGACAAAGACGATGACAAAGACGATGACGATGTTGATGACGATGTTGATGACGATGACGATGACGATGATGACGATGACGATGATGATGATGATGAAGATTACGATGACGATGACGATTATGATGATTACGATGACGATGATGATGACGATGATGATGATGGAGACGAAGACGATTACGATGACGACGACAATGACGGTGACGATGATGATGAAGATTACGATGACGATGACGATGATGATGACGATGATGATGATGGAGACGAAGACGATTACGATGACAAAGACGAAGACGATGACGATGACGATGACGACGACAATGACGGTGACGATGATGATGTAGATTACGATGACGATTACGAATATGATGATGACGATGATGATGATGACAATGACGATGTCGACGATGATGACGATGACGACGACGATGATGATGATGATGATGATGACGACGATGATGATGATGGTGACGATGACGATAGTGATGACAATGACGATGATGGTGACAATGACGATGACGATAATGATGACAATGACGATGATGATGATGAGGACGATGATGACGATGACGATGATGGAGACGAAGACGATGACGAAGACGATGACGATAATGATGATGATGATGATGATGATGACGATGACAATGACGATGATCATGAGTCATGACTATGACAATGACGATGATCATGACGATGACGATGACGATGATGATGAAGATTACGATGACGATGACGATGATGATGACGATGATGATGATGGAGACGAAGACGATTACGATGACAAAGACGATGATGATGACGATGAAGATTACGATGACGATGACGATTATGATGATTACGATGACGATGATGATGACGATGATGATGATGGAGACGAAGAAGATTACGATGACGACGACAATGACGGTGACGATGATGATGAAGATTACGATGACGATGACGATGATGATGACGATGATGATGATGGAGACGAAGACGATTACGATGACAAAGACGATGACGATGACGATGACGATGACGACGACAATGACGGTGACGATGATGATGTAGATTACGATGACGATTACGAATATGATGATGACGATGATGATGATAATGACGATTACGATGATGGTGACGATGACGACGACGATGATGATGATGATGATGATGACGACGATGATGATGATGGTGACGATGACGATAGTGATGACAATGACGATGATGGTGACAATGACGATGACGATAATGATGACAATGACGATGATGTTGATGATGACGATGATGACGATGACGATGATGGAGACGAAGACGATGACGATGACGATGACGATAATGATGATGATGACGATGATGATGACGATGACAATGACGATGATCATGATTCATGACTGACAATGACGATGATCATGACGATGACGATGACGATGATGATGATGATTACGATGACGATGACGATGATGATGACGATGATGATGATGGAGACGAAGACGATTACCATGACAAAGACGATGATGATGACGATGACGATGATGATGACGATGACGATGACGATGAAGACAATGACGGTGACGATGATGATGAAGATTACGATGACGATGACGAATATGATGATGACGATGACGATGTCGATGATGATGACGATGACGATGATGATGACGAAGACAATGACGATGATGATGATGACAATGATGATGATGATGACGGTGACGATGACAATAGTGATGACAATGACGATGATGATGACGATGACGATGATGATGATTACGATGACGATGATGGAGACGAAGACGATGACGATGACGATGATGATGAAGATTACGATGACGATGATGATGATGATGATGATGAAGAGGACGATGATGATGAATATGACAATGACGATGATGATGACGATCACGAAGAGGACGATGACGAAGACGAAGACGGTGACGATGATGCTGAAAATAATGACGATGACGATGATGATGATGATGACGATTACAGTGATGATGACGATGTCAATGACGATGAAATTGACCTTGACGATGTCGATGACGATGACGATGACGATAATGATGACAATGACGATGATGATGATGACGATGATGGCGATGACGGTGATGGAGACGAAGACGGTGACGATGATGAAGATTACGATGACGATGACGATTATGATGATGATGACGATGATGATTGGTGCACCATGGGAGAGAATAGTCATTGACGTGGCGGGGCCGTTTCCGGAGATTGAAAGCGGTTACAAGTATTTCATGGTTGTGATGGATTACTTCACTAAGTGGCCAGAAGTCTTCGCCATTCCAAATCAAGAAGCTTGAACAGTTGCGGATAAACTATGTAGTTCATGAAGTCTTCTGTCGTTTTGGAGTACCTTTAGAGATTCACAGCGATCAAGGAAGGAATTTTGAGTCTCAAATATTCCAGGAAACTTACCGAGTTATGGGTACTCATAAAACAAGAACGACTTCTTATCACCCGCAATCTGATGGATCGGTAGAACGATTTAATCAGACATTGGAGAGGTACCTAGCAAAAAGTTGTAGACAATCGGCAACGAGATTGGGACAAGCACATACAATCGTTTTTGTTGTCACATCGAAGCGCTGTTCACGAAAGTACAGCAGTCACTGCTGTACTGCCAGCTTTCGCAAACTTTGAAAGAGAATTACGGCTGCCTGCAGACCTGATCACCGGGATACCACCTGATGCCCCACGCAGTATAACCGATTATGCAAATGACTTGCGAGACAAATTGAATGAAATGTATGAGCACGTCAGACAATCGGGCCAGCAAATGTCTGAAAAGATGAAATCCCGGTATGACCGCAAAATGAACAACAAAGGGTTCGACGAAGGTTCACTAGTGTGGTTGCACAATTCAGTCCGCAGCAAAGGGAAATCTCCTAAGCTTCAAGCTAAATGGGACGGCCCGTACCGGATTGTGACCATGATCAACGATGTAACCTACCGGATACAGAAAGGCGCAAGAGGGACTCCTAAGATCGTCGAAGAATCGATCGAAGAAATAATGAATAAATTTTATTTTTATGACATTAATTTAGTACACATATATTAGTCAGCCTTTATTATAAAACGAGAACTTAAAAATATGAAAGCGTCAAGTGTCTCATCGTTTAGAAGTGATCTTATTTTATTCCAGAGCATTCTAGCTGTAGTAAAAGCTCTTTCAGACTTAACACTGGTCAGCGGTATGGAAAGCGACCTGTTCAGAATTTTTTTTAAGTTTTCCACAACCTTCGTCGTTTCCAAATAAAGCCATTTCAACGTGAATAAGTTGCGCTGATTACACTCGTTGACTGGTGTTGATGATCACTACCCACACTTGCAAGAGAAAATTGACGATTGAGCTTTTTTTTAAAACTGAACGGCAATGGATCAGAACTGCACAGAGTTTCTCAAATAGAGTTCGTATTAGTCTATGTGGTCGTGCGATGGTCAACATCCAGGGTTGCAACTTGATAGATCAAGTTTTTAATTTCATCATACGTAGGTTTTTTAAACATATCTTTGTCTTCCTTTGTCTCATTTAAAAATTGATTAGGGTTGTGTAAGAATTGTAAGGCACCGACAATATTATAGAGTCGCCTCTCTTTAATTCTTTGTTTCAATGACATTGCCAGTTGCCTGGCAGAGATCGTATTCGTCATGGTCATCGTCATCTTATCATCATCGTCATCGTCATTGTCATCATCATCTCTCCATCATCATCATCATCGTTGTCATCATCATCATGCTCACCACCATCGTCATAATCATCATCATCATCACCGTCATCGTCACTGTCATCATCATCATCGTCATAATCATCATCATCGTCACAATCATCATCGTAAACATCGTCATCATCATCGTAAACATCGTCGTCATCATCATCATCTTCATCACCATCGAAATCATCATCTTTATCATCATCGTCATCATCACCATCGTCATCATCATCGCCATCTTCATCGTCATCACCATCGTCATTATCAGTCACCGCACCGTCATCGTCGTGGTCATTGTTATTGTCATCATCATCGTCGTCATCGTATCATCATCGTCAGTCATTGTCATCATCATCTTCATCATAATCGTCATCAAACGTCATCATCATCGTCATCACCATCGTAATCATCATCGTCATCGTCATCATCATCGTCACCGTCATCGTCATAGTCACTGTCATCATCATCGTCATTGTCATCATCATCTACACCCTCGTCATCGTCATCAACATCATCATCATCATCGTCGTAGTCAACGTCATCGTCATGGTCAACGACATCTTCACAATCATCACCATCATCATCATGATCGTCATAATAATCATCATCATCATCATCGTCATCATCATCGTCATAGTCATCATCATCAACACCCTCGTCATCGTCATCAACATCATCATCGTCATGGTCAACGTCATCGTCATGGTTAGGGAATGCAATTCCGCAAGATAATTTCAATCCACGTATTTGCTGGATTGAACCATCTTAGTCCCACTGGATCCAGGTATTTGATGGATCCAGTAGGGTGGAACTAGACCTCTGAAATCTAAATTAAAGACTTCGTTTCTATGGTAAAACCATAACCATTTGAAGCCAAATAAAACAAGCCTTTTGGTATATTTTAAATGGTTTATTTATTACTTGTTTGTTAATTAAACATTATTTTGGAAGTAGCTTCTTAAAAAAGTTAAAGTATTAATTGTGTCATCTGCTAAACAGCTTCTGATATTGTACACAAGGTAGCCAGCAGCTGAAAAAGCCCGCTCAGCTTCCACGCTGGTTGGTACAATAGTCATAAGTGCGTTATAGGCGAACTGAAGGTAAGTGCCTTTTTAATCCACCCGACTCGAAATAGTTCATTTCCTTCTTTATCAAAACCTCAAGGTTACTCATACTTCCAGACCTAGGTGGCTGGGCTGTTGAGCCAGGACTTTTGATACTAGTTAAAGTCAGTTCGAGTTCGTTTTCAAGTGACATTGGTGCTGCGGCTGCCGTTTGCGTCTCGAGATTAGAGAGCGATGTCGTCATAAGGATCATCAATAGGAGTAGTGGTTACTGCATTGCTTCCTGTGTACTCTAGCCTTTCTACTATATTTTTGATGGCCTTGCGTATTACACTCTTTGGAGGTAGATTGAATGTTTCATCATAAATAAATTGACTTGTGTCTTCTTCGTACTTATGTGGATATATAATATGGAATGTATATAGTATGGATGGAAGTATAATAAAACCGCTGTCAAGTCAGTTCGCCGCTCTGAGATCCGTTTCCTCAACGAATCAACAAGTTTTCGGGCTAACGGTTTATTAATATTTATCGGTTTGCTAATAATAAATCTCAAAGTAGTTTCCGCAGTAATCAAATTAGACTCACGTCTACACAAAACTTCGACTGCTAATTTTACCGGCTGTAATATTCGTTCTAGATCAATTAGCACATCATATTCCTGTTCAGTGAAAACGTAGTCATGATTTGCACCAAGACCTAAGTCAATCAGGGTTTTCGATACGCACGATCTTATTTTGTTGAATATTTTTATCATTTCGCACAGGCTTGACCACCTTGTTTGACAATCCAACAATAAAGCAATATTTTTTCCCATGTCTTTTGTCATATACGTCTGCAGCAGATCGTTTTTAGTAGGTGAATTTTTAAATATATTTTACTACTTTTCGTACCTTCTTAGATGCACATGTAAACCTTTTGTCGAAGGTCCGGTCGTTTTAATTATTGATTTACACAACTTACATTTTGCGGTTTGTGAATCTTCGGCCTTCAAAAAGTACTTCCATACAGGAATAATACCACAAAAGTCTTTATACACTTTTTCCGACATTATTGTCACTCATTAAATAATTTTGTATTATTTAATGAGTGACAATAATGTCGGAAAAAGGAAATTTCTCAGTTTATTCAGATTTATCTAAAGAAATCAATATTCTATGAAAAAATCACTGCGTAACGTCATAATCACCAGTTGTAACTGGCAAAATATTAAGTACACAAACAAAGGCGGGGGAATCCCCGCGCCCTCACACTGTTTCTCTGCACCACGCATCGCTTAGCTCAGTTTACGCGCCGCCGCGCGAACATTAACACGTATGGACCATGCTTCTCTGTAATCCCGACAAACCAGCGGGATTCCGTAATATTTTCGTACGAGATTAGTCCCGCAAAATGCATGCGGGATCCAGGTATTTCGGGATCACGGTATCCCGGTATTGCATACCCTAGTCATGGTCAACGACACAGTCACAATCATCACCATCATCATCATCATCATCATCGTAGTCGTCGTCGTCACCATCATCATCTCCGTCATCGTAATCATCATCATCGTCATCGTCATCATAATCATCATCGTAATCAACATCGTCATCATCATCGTCATCATCATCATCGTTCACATCGTCATCATCATCATCGTAAATATCGTCATCATCATCTTTATCACCATCATCGTTATCATAATCGTCATAGTCATCATTATCATCGTCAAAATCATCATCATCATCGTCGTCGTCATAATCATCATCGTCATGGTCAGTAATCCTCATGGTCAACGACATCGTCACAATAATCACCACCACCATCATCATCATCGTCATAATAATAATCATCATAATCATCGTCATCATCATCGTCGTAAACATCATCATCATCGTCATCGTTATTACCATCGTCATCATCGTCATCGTCATCACCATCGTCATCGTCATCAACGTCTTCATCGTCATCATCGTCACAATCATCATCGTATCATCATCGTTATCATCATCATCATAATCATCATCAGCATCTTCATTGTCATCATCATCAACACCCTCGTCATCGTCATCAATATCATCATCATCGTCATGGTCAACGTCATCGTCATGGTCAACGACATCGTCACAATCATCACCATCATCATCATCGTCGTCATAATATACCATCATCATCATCATCGTCATCATTTGCATCGTCATTGTCATCATCATCAACATCCTCGTCATCGTCATCAACGTCATCATCGTCATGGTCAACGACATCGTCACAATCATCACCATCATCATTGCATCGTCATCATCATCGTCATTGTCATCATCATCATCACACCCTTGTCATCGTCATCAACTTCGTCATGGTCAACGTCATCGTCATCATCGTCATCGTCATCATCATCATCACCATCGTCATCATCATAGTCATCATCATCATCATCCTCGTCATCATCATATCATAATCTCGATAATAAATTATCATTTCCCTCATTAAAATACATTTAGACTTATTCCGTATTTAATCGTGTCCGAACAACCTTAAAAATTAATAGGCTATTAGGTTTTCCAAACTCTCAGCTGATTGGGCTGATTGTATGTGGATATACTAACCTGCGATAATTTTTTTTATCTTACTCTCGCAACTATACATTGGGTGCGTTTGGCAGAAAAAAGCGCTAGCAAGCGCTTGTAAGCAAAATGGCGATCGTAAGCGGTAAGCGCTGTCAAATCGTAAAAGTAGATAGCTATTTTCCTCCAGGACACGATGTTAGTTTTAACCGGGGAATCTAACCTAATTTAAATATATGTTTGTAAAGTATTCATATTAAAAACTTACCAATCATGAATTTTTAATAGCATGTATATGTTTATTCATGTCATTATATTACTTAAAACTAATATTGCACAAAACAACTTATAAACTCTACTTACTTCAAAACAAACAAATTAAATAAGCAAAATGGCGGATTGTGTCAGCGCTACTGAAGTAACAATCGTGTCCCGGCCGAAAACTATTTTAGCGCTTATAAGTGCTTGCTAGCGCTTTTTTCTGCCAAACGCACCCATTATCAATATTTTCATTTATAATTATGTATTCCGTAACTTAACCATACATTTTTAATCACATCTTTTACTTTATATCATAAAATAATCTCGTATAATATGTAGTTAGTTACAGTGTCAGTCAGGGATTGAGGTTCACAATATGGGAACAACAAACTTTAAATCAATTAGTTGTGTAAAACATTATATATGTAGTGAGTTTCAAAATCGTATTATCCGAAGAAAATACTTTCATAATCTACTTAAATTAGTACTGTTTTCCAAGAAAATAATAAATTGTAATAGTTAAAAGCTTATGATTTAAATATTCAAATAATATAAAACCGAAAATAAATTATTACATTTCACATTAATATAAACAGAACAAAGAAGTCAACGTTAAGCAACGTAATCATTATAATTAATATAGCAACACATAGATCAAAATACAAATTGTAATCCTAACACCGCAAATATATGGAGACAAGTTTGTTTTAAATTAAAAAGTATGTATACGAGGGCGGCACCGAAAATTTCGGGAATCAAGGAAGTGACACAACATTTACATACTATTTAAAAATGTATTTATTGCTTTTCGAAGTATTCTCCGCGAAAATTGACACATGTATCCATACGATGGAACCAATCATTGAAGCAAGCAACCATTCCATTCGGAAGTTGGGGTCTCCAAAATGGCCGTTTTGTAGGCGTCCTCAGCTTCTTCAAGTGATGAAAATTTCTGTCCACGCAATTTATTCTTTATTTTAGGGAAAGTATAGAAATCATTAGGGCTTAGGTCGGGGCTGTACGGCGAATGGTCTAATAATTCTATGTTTTCTTGCTCTAAAAACTCTTTTGTTCTGTGTGCGGTGTGAGAACTCGCATTGTCGTGTTGGAGGATGATGCGGCGGTTGCAGTTCCCTTTACGGAGTTCAGAAACGACCTGTGGCAAACAAATGCTAGCATACCATTCTGCATTAAGCGTTCTTTGTACCTCAAGAAGAATAGTCGTAACATGGCCGGTTTTGGAGACAAACACCACCATTTTTTTTTGCAACACTCCGTGAACGAACAATTTTTGTTGGCTATAACTCATTTTCGAACACCCAAACTCGTGACTGGTTTTTTGTTTCTGTCATACGCATATATCTAGGATTCGTCACCTGATACAATGTTGTATACAGCATTTGAGGATCCTGCGTGGAATCTTTCGAGAGTTCTGACGCACCAAGTAACGCGAGCCGCTTTTTGCTCTTAACAGAGCAAATGCGGTATCCATCGGGAAAACAACTTTTTTACACCTAATTGTTCATGCAAGATTATTTGTATTTGACTCATGCCAATGTCTAAAGTTGCCTGAATTTCGCGGTATGTCACATGTCGATCTTCCTCAATCAGCTTACGCACAGCATCAACGTTTTCTTGGGTGACTGCAGTTTTTGGACGACCTTGACGGGGATCATCACTGAGCTTGACACGTCCACGTTGAAATTCAGCAAACCAGCGATAAATTGTGGTTTTGGATGGGGCTTCATCACCAAATGCAGAAATCATCCGGTCAACACACTGTTTTTGTGTTAAACCACTTCGAAAGTCATAATAAATCATCGCTCTTGAATTTTCTCGAGTCAATTCCATTTTCTCAACGACTAAACAAGTTTCACAAAACCTTGTGACTAGACCAAGTATATAGTTAGTAATCTATGGACTAGACCGAGAATCTTTTTTTTAAATAAATAAATGGTATTTGATTTTTAAAACCAAGGAGTTTTCAATTAATAGTATTTTAATATGACGGGAATAGTGGAAATATTCCATTCCCGATACTTTTAGTGCAGCCTAGGTAAGGAATCGATTCAGTTAACGATTCTGAACAAACTACTTTCTCAAAGTGCGTTAATTATGTTACATGTTATATATACAACGTGTTTCAAAATTCAACGATAAGCCAACACCGGAGGATAGACATGCCCCGGACTAATCGGGGGAAAAAAAGAAAAAAATATATCCCAACTATATTTTAAGTTATATAAAAAAAATGAAATTCTTCAGAAATGGACACCGTTTATGATATTTTTCACTACCATGACCACAATTTTTTTAGTATTTTTTTTCTTTTTTTTATAGGCAACCTGAATAGTACTGCTATCTACCACAATTCTTAAAAACTCCAGAATAACTCTTATTTTATCACGAAAATTAATGAAACTTATTTTATTCCCTAAATTTTTTGAAGACTTTTACTTTTAACCAAATTTAACTTATCGTGGTGTAAAAAAAAGTATGAACACTAGTATGGCAAGTTTTTTAAAAATTGACTGAATTGATTGATTTGATTGATTTTTTGAATGATTGAATTATTTAGAAATAATAGGCCCATATTTTTTTATAACTTGTTTTCCTAGAGTATTATACCATTTTGGAATGTTGGTCAGTTGCGTCAATTTTTAAAAAAACTTGCCATACTTACTTGTGTTCATACTTTTTTCTTACACCACGATACGTTAAATTTGGTTAAAAGTAAAAGTCTTCAAAAAATTTAGGGAATAAAATAAGTTTCATTAATTTTCATGATAAAACAAGAGTTATTCTGGAGTTTTTAAGAATTGTGGTAGATAGCAGTACTATTCAGGTTGCCTATAAAAAAAAAGAAAATAATATTAAAAAAAATTGTGGTCATGGTAGTGAAAAATATCATAAACGGTCTCAATTTCTGAAGATTTCATTTTTTTTATATAACTTAAAATATAATTGGGATATATTTTTTTTCTTTTTTTCCCCGATTAGTCCAAGGCAGGTCTATCCTCCGGTGTTGGCTTATCGTTGAATTTTGGGACACGTTGTATATATATATATATATATGGAATCGGGGATAGTTGAGGGTATAAACATTCACAGGTTGAGTGATTGTTTTGGCAAGGATGTCTTATAAAGAAATTGGGAGATTTTGACAGTTGAAAAAAATGTGGTCTTGAGTATTTTCATCCAGACCACATTCACAGAGGGAATGATCTTTTCTTTTTCTTTTTTTTATAGGATTAGGTTGACAAGCGAGCACACAGTCAACCTGATCGTAAGTGGATGCTGCGGCCCATGGACATCTACATTTAACCTCGATTAAGAATCAAAACGCATATGCATTGGTAATTGGTAGATAAATATGGTACAAAATTTATCTCTTCATAATTTTTTACGTAGTAGGGTTGTAATTTGATCTTATTTGCTTGCATGCTTGACACAGCTGATTAGTAGAATCCTGGCAAGCCGGATCGGTCGGAACCTTTCCCTGCTAGCAATCGTGTCGGCGATGCTGAGCGAGGATTCGGCGTGGAGGGCCGTAGCCACCTTCTGTGAGTCCGTAATGGTGCAGAAGGATGCTGCTGAGCGGGATCGTAGGAGGACAGATCCCGCTCGGAGACGACGCCTTCAAGGTGCTCGTCACGGCCCTCCCCTTGAAGATGGTGATCCCCTACTAGAACGGGGCCTCTGGGGTTGCAAGCATTTGGGGCGGGGGCCCCGAATGCCTAGTAATGTAACCCCTGAGGAGGACGATGGCTCGGAAGTGGTCCCGAAACATAGTGATAGCACTGCGAGGGTGCTGAGGGTAGTAAGTACTGCCCCCGGGACGTGCTTTCAATAAAGCAAATCATCATAATCATCGTCATCAACGTCATCATCATCATCATCACCATCAACCACTCTCGTCATTGTCACCGTCATCATCATCGTCATCGTATTATTGTCACCGTCATCATCATCGTATTATCGTCACCGTCATCTCTCCATCATCATCGTCATCATCACCATCGTCACCGTCATCATCATCATCGTCATCACCATCAGCATCAAAATCATCATCGTCATAATCATCATCATCGTCATAGTCACCGTCATCATCATCGTCATCATCATCTCCACCGTAATCGTCATGGTCTATGTCATCATCATCATTATCAACATTGCCATCATCATCGTCATCCTCATGAGCATCATCATCATCATCATTATCATCGTCACCTTCATCATCATCGTCATCATCATCTTCACCGTAATCGTCATGGTCAACGTCATCATCATTATCATCGTCATCATTATCGTCGTCATCGTATCATCATCCTCATCGTCTTCATCATCGTCATCGTCATCGTCATGGTCATCGTTATCGTCATCGACATGGTCATTGTCATTGTCATCGCCATTGTCATCATAGTCAACATCGACATCGTCATCGACATTATCATAATCATCGTCATCATTGTCATAATCATCTTCATCAACGTCAACGTCATCATTATCATCATCATCGTCATCATCATCATCATAGTCATCGAAGTCGTCGTTATCATCATCGTCAACGTCATCATCATCGTCACCATCATCATCATCGTCACCATCATCGTCACCGTTATCGTCATGGTCAACGTCATCATCATTGTCGTCACCAACGTCATCATCATCATAATCATCATCGTCATTACCATCGTCACCGTCATGGTCAACGTTATTATCATCGTCATCGTCATAATCATCGTCATCACCATCATCATCATCGTCAACATCATCGTCACCATCAACATCATCCTCATCGTCATCATCATTGTCATCGTCATCGAGAAAGTGCGTTAGACTTAATGTGCCTCCCTGAGGCACACCATAGGTAATTTGAAGCTCATTACTAAGAGAATCATCGTACGTTTCACATATTTAACGCTACTTCCCGGCACTGATCCGGGTATTTTGCGCCTAGCGTAATCTAGATTATCGTGGAATGGCAGTGTAAGAATATCCACCACTGCATTTCATCCCGTGGGAATCGTAGGAGGCGACCAGAGGGAAATAAATCCGGAAATGGGCAGCAGCGTCTTGCTATTTAAAGAATAAAATAAAAAAATGCGGTTGCCAACCCGCTTGCCCGCAGTGGACTTTAATACACAGTAACGATAATCTAGATGATTATCCTTTCATCAAACGGTAGCCATAAGATCTTTTTGGCAGAATCATAGTCACTTCCTATGGCTCGGCCACACTCTGCTCCTCGCGCTGTCGCGATGTTGCCCTGTCTGTCCACACACTGCTCTGCTCGCGCAATTAATCGCGACGGAACACAATGGTTGTTGTAACTGTTGCAGCGTGCGAGCTATGCATATTTAACAAATTTTTTTCTCTGTATATTATTTACTCATATGATAATATAGCTTTGATGATAAAAATTAATTGCCAGAGGGTTACACCTACTAAAAATGTAAAAAAATTTTAAATCTTTTTTTTTTTAAGAATAAGGGTGACAAACGAGCACACAGTCAACCTGATGGTAAGTGGATGCTGTGGCCCATAGACATCTATACATTTATCCTCAATTAAGAATCAAAATACAGATGCGTTGTCACCGCTGAGGACTAAGATGGAATGCCTCGTTTCCAGTAAAAGAGGGTCTCCGGATCTCTACACTCACCATACGAAACACAGCAGTATTAAGCTACTATTTTACGCTGATATTATATTATAGCTATTGCTATTTTCTGCGAGAGCGTGCTCCTTCCTCGGTTTAGCACATCCATTCGACCTAAAACCATATATAGCTGCAGGGTGGTTTTACCACGTATGAAAATGTACTTTATATGAATAAAAAGTGGCTATATCGGTTGCTTAATTTATTATTTATGCCATATCATAAAAGGCACCTTTATGTATTAACAATCCTTAAAAATAAATAACAATTTATAACGACACTTAATTCATCATATAATATTAGTGAATACCCTCATTCACAAGTGAATGGTGTACCCTACAATGCAATTTTAAACTAGTTACTTGAACAAACGCTTTATCACATTCTTTGCACGCGTATCTTCTATCATTCGTGTGTATTCTTCTATGGAAGTCCAAGGTCTTCTTCCTCTGAAAACTCTTCTTGCAATATTCGCATTGGAAAGGCCTCGTGTCGTCATGTTTTACCATATGCCGCCTTAGTAAGTCCTTACTGAATACTTTAAAGCCACAAATCTCACAAGCGAATGATTTCTCTTTTAGATGCACTCTTAAATTGTGTTGGACGAGTGTACTTTTAGTTGTAAACACCTTTGAACACTGCTCGCACGCAAACTGCGAACTTTTCACGTCGTGCACTAACGCTAGGTGTCGCTTTTTCAAGTACCTGCTACCCAAAATCTCGGGACATTTGGGGCATTTTAATTTATCAGATTTATGCACCTTCATTAAATGGTTGTTGAGGGCGTAATTCGAAGGGAAAGTCTTGTCGCATTTCTCACAGTGGCAAGTGATAGTTGAGTGCACGTTTTTTACGTGACTGTCTACATTCGCCTTAGCCACGAAACCCTGGCCGCAGATCTCGCACAGAAATGTGCTAGTCTTATTGTGATATTTATGTACGTGGGCCAAAAGTGGCCCGAAGAAACGGAATTGAACGCCGCATTCAATACAGCACATTCTATCGTCGGACAATTTAAAAGCGAAAAGGTGTCTGCTGACTTCTTCATCTACCCTCACCGCGTGAACTTCAGAGGCGTGCTTCAAGAACTCCTCCAGCGTTCTGATCGATTTCGGACACTTCTTGCAGGATATCTCGGACAAGTCCAGCTTTATCCTACTATGTCCTACGATACTACGCAAGAGATGCCTTAATTTTGCACCGTGATGTTCTTCTTTAGTGTGCTGCTTAAGCTTGGAACTGTCTATGAATGGACAGCAACAAAAAAAGCACATGTACTTATTCGCATACCACCGAAACGGCATTATTGTCGAATATTCTAGAATAATTGCAAGGAGTTTTGCCAGCTCGTTTTTTCTCTTTTTTTCTGCGTGTCGGTCGTCGGTAATGGGCTTCAATGGCAGTCTTCCTGTAACAAAATAAACATTTATTACCACTTGATTAAGCAATTCGGTAGATATATTATACTATGATGTGGTGGTGTAAAGGGAAATTAATATCCTATCACAGTCACATGTCCTAGATGTTTTCCTTCACCTCTGAGCACGAGGTAAATCAGTCTCAAACTGTATTTGATACCCACCGGTTTTAATGCAAAGCGGTGGATATCAAATACAGTTTTTTTTACAAAGGACGTTATCCCCACACCAGGATTTTCTCCCGTATCGCGGAGACAGTTTACACACATAAAATGCACAAGAACAAACATCCAGACTCTGAACATTATCCGTATGGCATACAAATACGTTCCGTGCGAAATTAGAACCCGCGGTCCTCGACACCGCGTCCAATGCTAAGCCAGATCCGGGGTTCGTCACATACAGTAGAGCAGATAATCAGATCCCCCGATAATTCGAACACCTCTATAATTCGAACGACCCCTGCCCCCTGCTCAAGTAGGTACTTTAATTTAAAAAAAAAATATTGCGTAAATTGAGGGATAAAGCATAAAAGGCAAACTAGATTTTTATTTTCATTTAATAGATACATATTGATTTAAATTTGTACCTATTTTCGATTATAAAATCTGTTACGTTTCAAAAAACACCTTATAAAATAATATTAATAATAATTGAAAATACATATTTATTACATGTAAAATATTAAACTAGGATATTATACCGGTATTTCAGAGGCTAGTTTATATAAATATCTACGTACTATAATCCGAACGCCTCATTAATCCGAACAGGGTGTTAACGTTGTGTTCGGATTATCGAGCCCCAACTGTACTTTGAAATTTACGGTGACCGCTAAGCCCCTTCTTTATAGATTAAGGGTGACAAACGAGCATAAAGTCCACCTGATGGTAAGTGGATGCTTTGGTCCATAGACGTGTATCTATTTATCCTCGATTAAGAATCAAAATGCAGATGCGTTGCCATCCCTTAGAACTAAGATAGAGTGCTTCGTTTCAAGTAAAAAGTATTATATAGCTACAGCATGGCTCCGCCACGGCTCATCAATCATCATGTATGCATTCCGTCTTTATCTTTTCTTTATATGCCCGTTAAAGTTTCTAAGGTGCACCGAACGAAACTAGTTTGACGTTAATCTCATTATTTCTTCTCGAGATATGCATAGTGCGTTTGGCCGTGAAAGGAAAAGGGCAGTTCACCCGTCGGGCAAGGTGATCAGCCCAGGGAGCGGCCAATGCTCTTTGTGATAGTTTGGAGCTTTTATATAGATACCTCGGAACTTTGATAGCGCGACTTAAGCTTTGATGCGTTTCGCTTTTTGACCACGAACGTAGATACTGTATATACGTTGTTCTGCCTCTTCGACGACCCTTAGTATATATAAATTCGCAAATAAAATTGTGGTCACTGGGCAGACCGTTGTCTCTGCCTTCTTCGACCCGACACTTTGTCACATATATATATACAAGGAGTGTTCGTATGTATGTCCAGACTTATTTTTCCATGACCCACTGCCACCCACTTCAGGTTGCAGTGGTAGAAGGCCCTACGTGTGTACTTGCATGTAAGGGAGTTTGGTTGCTGTGGGTGGAAGTTAGTGATGTGGGTGGTAAAAATGTGTAATAACAATAATAATAATAATTTATTTTAATAAACTATACAAATAATTCCAATAACTCTTAATATAAAAAAAATTCTACAATAACAGGCACCTCACCTGAACTAGGATAAACCTGTATCTCAGGTGTATGTGCTAAAAGATACATTAACAAATATTTTCTGTTTCTTATACAACATGTAACATAATTAACGCACATCCTGGAAGTAATTTGTTCAGAATCAGATTCCTATCATTTTAAATGTAGTTAATTTTTTATCCCAAAAATAATTAAAACTACGTAAATTACAGTCACACTAAATCTGTACAGTCAAAACAAACTGAAATGGACCGTAACCTAGGGCAATAAGACTTTTAAGAGTGCAGTTTTATTTGTATTATTACTAATTCTGACATTCAGTAAAAATAAAGAAAAATGAACTTTATTTCAAGCACGTTAAAGGCTTTGCGTTCGTGGATTTGTACTGTGACCAAAACATTCTTCCGGAATTAGTATAACTAATTTGATAATCAGTGCAAAAAAATGTTTAACTAAAAATTCAGTGTATGTATTATGATTATAACATAATATACTAATTGGGGTGTCTGAGGGTGTGCGTTAATTACTTGTTTGTTAATTATTGTATAAGATGAATAACATACTAACTAATAAGGGTTATTTCGGTAAACTATATTATCATTAATTTACTTATGGTATTAATTAACTTAAAACAATCAGCAACCTCTCCGTGTCCATGTTCGAATTACATTTTTACAGTCATTTTTAATTGTTTAAGAGTGAACAAACTACTTTCGAATTTGATTCATAATTATTTTAACAAGTCAATTAATCATTCGATTTCGTATACACTATCACCATACGAAACACAACAACACTGAGCATCTATTTTTACGCTGGTATTCTGTGAGAGCGTGGTCCATCCCCGATCGCGCTGACCCATTCGTGCTACAACTATAAAATAACTGCAGCATGGCTCTACCACGTTTAGAATGCACGTTGTACACTTGAGATTCGGAAGTATTAGCCATTCTGGTGCTGTTTAGCATACATCGCTTATGTCTCTCATTGTGCCCTCTTAATATACGTCAACGTTTGCACTATTACATGTGTACGAAGTCGTAGCAGAAATAAAGACTTCTCCTTTTCATCGTCGAACCACCAGAAGTTCGGCCGATCTCCAGCCCTTGTTGTCGACATGCATTCGAACTAAACGATTCACTTCGTCGTTCCTAACGAGAGGGAAATAATTTGCCAGCATCTGCCTTTTTATCCGATTACAATGTGGGTGTGTCTTCAAGGCAAGAGTGAATAAGTTTATATTTGCACTAAGACAGTGTGATTTACCATCTTCGACTGCATCACCATATCATCAGGTAGTATAGTTTTCAAGCTCTAACTTATAAGTAATAAAGAGGGTTCTGGATATACCATCACCACCCACATGATGTATCGGAATCAATTCGGACGTGCGCAAGTTTTAATACAAATTATACTGTGGTAACTTATCGTTACCGCCTATTAAAGTCCACTGTTGAACATAGACTTCCCCCATAGACTGCCTCAAAGGGTGGGGATATTTGCTATAGGTGTTAAGGTGATACCTCGAAAATTTAGTTGTTTTTCTATTTAACATATTTTTTTAAGTTTTATAGATAACAAACCAAAATTTTGGTATATGATTTTTGACTATATGATCTTGGATTGCATAAAAGGAAAACACGATATCATGTAATTTTCTCGATAGAAAAAAATTGCAAAGTAGACTCTAATTATTTACATTTCTCGATGACACCACAATATTCTTACGAATAATTTCATGGAATTATTTTTAAAACATAGTAAATAATCATATCTAAGTTCGCATAAACCAGTTTTTTAATCCATAACGAAGTTTTGTTAAAATAAATAAAAATGTTGTTTGGCGCTTACTTAGTTTTTTTCCGAGCGCTTGCTCGGTATGGCTATCTCATAATTTGCGTACTACGAAGTCATTGCATCACTTTCATTTTGACACTCCCTCAGTCGTCCGTTAGCTTCACCGACAAAGGAATAAGCCACGCCCCCAAAACTTCGATTCATTTTCAAGGTATCCTCTTAAGCTTAGCAAGCGGGTTGGCAACCGCAGATTTATTTTTATTTTTAGTCGCTACTCGTCATAAGGAAGACACCGCTGCCCATCTCCTGATTTGTTTTCCTCTGTCCGCTCTTACAGCACCCATGGCATTGGGGTGCCTAGTGAATATTCTTACACCGCTACTACATGGTAACTGTTGTTACTTGGTGCGTGAATATTATAATCTGATCTAGAGATATTCTCCACTAACTACTACTAAGGTACGTGAGGGTAATATCGCCATAAGCTTTGCCGCCCTATAAAACCAAAACTAGGAGAGAGACAGAGACAAAAACAAAAAGTCGTGTACTATAAACAATATATTAAAAATATATCAAACAAGCTACAGCAATAATTAAAAGTACTAATTACATTACACCATACTAAAATCGATTAAAATATTTACTATAATGTCAACCAAAATGGCGTCGATAAAGAATCGCCCTTTTGACCGTTTATTGAGTGACCGACGAAGAGCTATCGTATCACAGATCCTATCTTTGCAAACAAAGCTGTAGTTTTTGAGTTATAAGAAAGTGACCATATTATCCTCACGTACTATAGTAACACTACGGCCTTCACAAGTCCACTGCTGAACATAGGCCTCCCCTCCCCCATAGACTGCGACAAAGCACGGTTCTTAGCCTCCTGCATTGACTGCTGGCGTTTCATTAGGTCATCACTCCATCTAGTGGGGGGTCACACAACACTGCACTTAGCATTACGTGACTGCCACTCGAGAAGCTTTCTTCCCCATCGGTTGTCAGTTCTTCGAGATATATGTCCGGCCCATAGCCACTTTTTTTATAGGATAGGGTGACAAACGAGCATCTATCCTCGATTACGAATCAAAATGCAGATGCGTTGTCACCCGTGAGGACTAAGATGGTATGTTTCGTTTCCAGTAAAAAGGTGTCTCCGGATCTCTACATTTATTACACAAAACCAAAAAGTATTGAGCTGCTATTTTACGTTGGTATTCTGAGAGAGCGCGGTTCTTACCCGGTCGAGCCGACCCATTTGTGCTACAACCATAATATAGCTGCAACATGGCGCTACCACGTAAAAAGTAAAACGGAATTCGAATGTAGTGAGCTCCCTCATACAAATGGTACTACAGCTATTTCAGATCAACATTTATCAACTGTTTTTTT